AGTTGAGATTCAAAGATTTGCCAATTGATCAATTTCACTAATAAGAAACACCAAACGTCACACTTTTAACTGATGTTTTTTTTCCCTAGTGATTTCATTATGTGTATACAATTGCTGATTTGTTAAAGGCACCTTAGTCACTTCATTTGTAATAAATGGTCATCCCTCACAACAGCTTAAAGCATATTTGACGAAGAAAACATACATATCTTGGTTGATTTTAGATGGTGGAAGTCAGTCAGTCAACAGGAAGCCTTGAACGTTATTGACACTCATCAACAATACGAATCTGTCACCATGAAAAGGAAACTGGTGTTATCTCGGTGTTGAAGGCAGTCAGAAGCTTAACCACTGACCTACTTAAACCACGACTGATTTCCTTTAGAGGACTGGATGCGGTATACACGAGTTGACCACTAGTGGATAATCAACCGATGGAAGCTATTTGAACCTCAGCGATTAGCGTTATCCAAGTTTTGCAGTGTGACTATTCAGAAAAGTGACCCGATACTACTGTGCAGAGTATTTTAATGCTAGATATTCAACTAAAAATGGGATTAATCGATGAATATTACCATCAACAGAAGTAGACTTTCAGTTAGGATTCACATGCCCACTGCAGTAAGCAAAATAAGTCATTTGGCTTGGCGATATAATAAACGAAAGTGGTCCTGTGTAGGTGAATGGCTAAACAGTCTTCTGATCATGTTTATGTAAGTGAAAACCAGTATTCAAACAGTTTATCCGATGATGAATAGAATAAAAATCGATAGTGATACGTCGAAATCCGATTGGTTGACACTCTTCTTAGTAGTTTGGGAACTAGTGGTGGTGGTGGTAGTAGCAATGGTGAAGTAATGAGAACTACTTATCGAAAGTGATAACGATCGATTGGTGACGATGCGGATAAAAAGAGTACAGAATAAACATACTCGTTCTCGGCATCCGAATGTGCAGTGTTCTCTCTCTCTCTCTCTCTCTCTCTCTCTCTCTATATATATATATATATATATATATATATATATATATATATATATATATATATGCTTGCGGTATTCCCCCCCCTAGAATCTTCACCAGTTGATCGTTATCATTTTTATGTTTTCCTCTGTTGCACTATGTACTACTGACAGATATTCTCTTAAGTAGTATTGGCCGGAGTAGTAGTAATCTTTATGTAAATAATCAGTTGATTAACTGCTCAGCATAATTTTCTTCATCACTATTTAAGTGGTCTAAGCACACTTGAAATGTTTACCGTTAATATTGATTAGCTTAGTCGCATTGATTTGCGTTGTTCAGAAAAAGCATTTGTTTAAAAAAAATAAACTTTGTTCTTGGGAGAGATTAAAATTACACCTAGCATAGTGACAAAAGTAATAATGGCAGTAATACTGATAGTAATAATGGTAGTTTTGTATTAATGATGGATAGTGGCCGAGAGTGGAATTCAGGACGAGCATTTCATCCTATTTGGTACTCGTCAGCAGGATATATCTACCTCCCAGTGAGTGATATTGTTCCCACTGAGACTTGAACTTGAGACCGATCGCTTCAAACACCATGCCAACGAGTAACGATGTTTGTTTTTTTTGTTTTTTTACATCTCGGGGTTGTTTACGCTTCCTATCGACGGTTGGACTTATTGAACCATTGACCGATTTAGTGAATTTGTGTTTTTCTCATTCTTCTAATACTTTTTTTTCCCGCCAAAAATATGATGCTCAAATTAGCTTGTGAAGAATAATTTGATTACATTGAATAATCAGTACTAATGGCTAAACTGGTGTACGCGTTGAAGAGAACTGTGTAGAATTAGTGGGTTATATTCGTTTAACATAAAATCAGTGTTTGCTGATTAGTTACTATTATTTGCGAATTGTTATTTTCTAACTCTTTAAAATCCTTCGTGTAAATGGATTTGACAGAAGTTGAGTGCTAACAGAGTTGTGGCGGCGGTTAACGTCTCCTAGTTGTCCATATCATGGAAGGCTACTTCTTCATAAGTTGTCTGAAATAGAAGGGTTAGTAATGGTGGTGTTTGACCGAAGAGCTCACGGAACATCTGCTCAAGGCTTGGAAGTTTGAGATTTTAATTTTTGTTTTTCAAATCTAGCTACAAACCCATACCTGTGGGACTGGTAAGCCGTGGGTTAGAAGGGGTGTACTATTTTTAAGTCCGACATATTTCTAGGCCTCTTTCTCATATGGAAGGCAGCACTAACGTGTGACACTGTTAGTCATCTATGGGAATTACCTTGCTGCTGTCATACCTTCGTCCAACCAACAGTAAAACTTTTTTCTGGGACCTTCATCATAGCGTAGCAATTGATACTATAACAGTAACTGTACTTTGGCTTATCACTATCCAACTGACCTTTCTGTTGTGATGAGACCTCGATGGAACAAGTGTTCTCACAGCATAGCTCGTTGGGTTATTGCGACATGCAAACCCGACCGTCATGTCAAGTTAGTAGTTAGCGGTCAACATGCTAATGGATGAAATAAGTCGAATTGAATTAGCGAGGGAGAGGAGAAGGGGTTTCAGTACATCCCAACAAGGTAGTCAGTTATGTGAAATGCTTCTAACATCATAGTAAAAAGCCTTATAATATGGCTCATTATCCCTAACATTTTAACTCGTCATGGTACATTGTTTTGTCTTATTGATGCCTGATTGCTTATTGCTTCTAACTAAAGCCGGCTACTAACTAGTCTGGAAATTGATTTATGGCGGTCATGTATGGGTCGCGGATTTTGACTTTTTCGCATATGATTAACACTTGAAGTCAGATAGTCACCGGTTTTGACCTCTAAATGGTATCAGTTGCCTTCACATAATACGTCTAACTCAAAGCCTACTATATGAACCTCTAAATGTGATTTCCCACTTGGAAGTATTACAAAACGAGTATACTGGGTTCAGTCTCTCCATCCTTTCGAGTAGTTTTAAGATAGTTGAGCTGCTGCTTATTGGCCTAGGCAGTTTATTTGTCAATCGATAGGTCACGAGTATCAAACCCTATTCTGCTGAGTATACCGATGTTTTGGCAGCCAGGTAGCATCATTAGTCCTTACACAATAAATAGGTGTGGTGCTCATTGTCTTCTACTACTTCATGAATGTGTATATGGTTGCTGAGTGGATTTTGACTATTTTCGAGTTTTAATAGCTTTTTGAAGGATAGCTGATATGCTGGTAAGTTATTTAAGTACCTTGAGATCTGTTTAAGTTCAACCGTAAAGATTTCTCCTATGTTCGTGGATGGGGGGAATCGGCAGGAAGTGATGTCTGACCTAGGTTCTGTATTTGTTAGCATTAGTGACCAAGGCGTATCTACAACCTTGAAGGAGCTGATGTCCTCTCTAAAATTCAAATCCGTGTCACCCACGGCTGCAGTCAGCGACGTTACCACTGAGATACACAGGCTGATATTGACGTCCTGTAGGATTAGATTAGGTACATTAATCAGTCCCTGGAAGTTAACGAACTTCATGTTGTCTAGTCCTATGTGCTGGTCGAGTCTATCGATCATTTCAAAATGTGGTCACTAGGCTAGATGACTCACGAACATAGAAGTTGCAGATACGTTTTACTGACGAGTGCCAAAAAGTGTGGAACCTAGGTTCAGCGCTTCCTGCCAATTGCCTCCATCCAACTAAGATTTCTGTCAGTGCTTTTAACAGTACAAGGACAGCCAAACGAATCTCTGTCTCAGTGACCTTCATCAGCAAACACTGAATAATCGATCAGGAAGCTTTATTAATGCGTTTTACATTAGGAGGTAAAAGAATTAAAGTTGTGTCGTAAAAGACACCAGACTATTGTCACTATTATTTCGATTACTGTAATATATCTTTTGATACTGGTATAGAATTTCCTCTATGCCTTTTTGAGCATTTGTGCTTGTCACTCTGATATGAAAACTAGAACGAAACAGCTATTCAACGATATTAAATTTTAGTTAGTTATCTGTTTACCCTGTTGAAAGTGAAATATGCAAAGAGATTACAGGTTTCCGAACACGCGTAGTTATATAGCATTACCAGCGTATGATTAAATCACTGTGTGAACACCTTTAAGTGTTGACGTAGGGCACTAGATAAGCCAGGCAAGTTAGTTGATGGGGTTGTGAATCTCTACCAACTGAGTTGGCTTGGACATGTGTTGCGTATGCAGAACCACAGATTACCTCACTATGCAATGTTAGCCAAAGTTAGATTGCGTTTGAAGAAAGCTTAGGCTGACCAGACCATGAAGTGGGACCAATCGATGAAGTCTCTGATTGCTGATCTGAAATGTGTACGTATGCTGGCTGGGAATCCTTGAGACGATAGGAGAGGCTGGCTTGAGACCTTTGGTGACATGAATGGAAATCAATCACAAAGAGGAAGATATATTAACTCTTTGACGTGTTCTGAAGCTTGAGTATTTCTACTTACAATGGTTTGCAAATTCCTTCTGCCCTTCCAATACACTTTTGTCTATTTTAATATCACTCTTTATCTATTTCCGTTCTTCTTTAGATGGGAAGTGATGAGAACCATCATGGAATTAAATTATTACTCTGGTGATGGCTGTCTTTATCTCATGACTGAAACACTAACCAAGTGATTTGTGTGTGTGTGTCATACATTGAAGTGAACTATTACTAATCTGCATATACGTGTACTGGATACCAACATTATTATGCGTTACTCACTAGTTAACAGTGTGTCAGTCAAGGATAAAAACTGAAGGCCATTAGATAACAAATGACTAACCAATCAGGAAAAAGCTACACGTCCATTTAGTATAACATGTTAACTTTGAATAATTTCATCGTTTGTTATTTTATAAAAGAAATTAGATTAATAGTATTCTTTAGTCAGATAAACTTTATATCACAGTCTAATACCCTTAATAATAGTTTGTTTTTATTTCTTTTCCCCCCTTTTTTTCTTTTCTTCTACTTGTTATCTGCTCATTGAACATTCATCCACCCACCTAATGACCTTCAGCTGTAATCGATAAAGAAGGTCGTAATTTGCTATGGAATAAAACAGCTGCAGCTATAAAATATATTGCAAAAAATTATGCTAATGATTATGATTATTTTTTAAAAGCAGATGATGATTCTTATGTTGTTGTCGAAAATCTACGTAGAATTCTATCTAAACATAATCCTGATAAACCATTTATCATGGGTAGAAGATTTAAGGTAGGTTGGTGTTTTTCTAAACTTGTTTTTTCACCATACGTTTGATGGATGACCAGACATTATTGTACTGATAAGTGATTCTAGTTAACTCTTATATATACTAATAACTTCTTAGTATAGAGTAATGAAGAGAAGTGTTCAAGGTCACTGAGTCCAAAATCCACCAATCACGATATGATATACAGATAATGAGTTCGTTGATGTTAAAAGTGTGTGAAATAATTGTATGAAATGAAAGCAGAGTGAACATAATCTTACTTAACAACTAAGACATAGATTGATGAGAATGATTTCATAGACTAGATACTGCCTAGATAGGTGAAAGAGACTACTTGCTTTAAGTTTCCCCATTGATGGTGATTGGAGCTTGTTGTTGTTGTTGTTGATGGTGGTGTTGGTTGGGTATCTTCATCACCTCTGTCTTCTCTACGTTCACCTCAAGGAAGTCCCATCTTCGCTGCCCTGCCTCCTCTGTCAACTTGTTAGTTTTCGCCTGTAGGTCTTCAACAGACATCAGACACAAGTCATCGGCGAAAACCAAATCTTCTAGGATCTTTCCGCTGTCCAGCAGCGTATACCCCTCTTCTCACAACTCCTCACTGTCGTCTATTGCATGATCCAGTCGACCACAATCAGGAATATCATGATTGATAGTAGACAGCCTTGTTTCACTCCTGTCTTCACTTCCAATGCAAGGCATCACTGAGCTAGCTTCCCATTGTGAATTACTCGTCTGGCATGTGATGTCTTCATATAGTTAGTTGTTGAATGAGATTGATAAAGGTTTGTGGTATTCCGTAGTGTTGAAGCAGTTGCCTGCCAAATTACTTGTCGTTGACACTGTCGAGGCCTTTTCAAAGTTGATGAAGTTGAGGTAGAGAAGAATAGTATGCAGTCTATTAATCCTGACCTAGATTGTTTCACCAGACTTTGTAGTGTCAGCACTAAGTTACAGAACTCTAAATCGGAACGTATTCTGTTCAACGTTCGATAGTTGATTTTATTTAACGACGGTAAATGAATCAACATAAAAACTCGTACAGAAGTGCATCGATTCAACTTGATACACTCCACATCAGCACACAAGGAAAAAAATGCATAGAAAGAGTGATATTAAGGTAAGCAAATGTTTATGGGTGGATAAAATAGCTCGATGAAGAATAACGAAGAGTGTATGAATCGGCGGCTGTGTCACCGATTTTGAGCTATATCATCAAAATTCTCTAACCATTAGTTCCTATGGTCTCGAGTACTCCAACCACGCAGCCTATACCATTGAGCGAGTTCTAGACCGACAGTCAATGACAACTTCATTGACTCACTTGCCTTCCTTACGTGATATTCTTCACATAACCTAAACATTGTATTGCTATGAAGACACTAGTGATCAAAAACGCGTGACCTCTTCAAATCTTCTACTTTCAAGGACCAAATATGACAACCATATAATAGGATAAAGGGGACTGAAGTGCTTTACATAGTTGGATGTCTCCTCAGCCTCAGAGATGATGCAAGTTGGGAAATGCTAAACGTACCTTTTGTATCTATGCTGAGATTTCGTCAAAACCAAACTATTTGGGCTGAAGTAACTCTTCAAGCTGTCAACGCATTCAGATATTCCACCGCCTATCCTTGAACAAGGAGTTGGTGCAGACCAGCTTTTAGACAAGTCAAAAATGCAAGCCAAGCATACTGAGATTTCTGCTCAAGGTGTTCAGAAAATTCCGGATTTTTCCGACATTTTCACCTAACAGGACTTTATCGTGTTCATTTATAACAGCGAATAAACTGATTTATCTTGGATCAAATACTTAAACTGAAACTGTAGCGTGATTATAACTTTTTATACGCGTCAATCACATTAGCATCTCTTCAATTAATTCATCCTTTTTCCCACCTATAAGTCAGTATCTAAACACTGAACTCAAGGCTGAGGTGTTTGCAACCCTTTGACTAGCACTTTCACCTTCAGTTATCATCCCATATTAATAATGCTGGTCCGCTGGACCGTGGCTACCTCAGATCGTCGAACAGGTAACCAGTATGAAGCTCCTCTTCTTTAATTCTCTTCTACTTGGATTGAGACGAGAAGACCTAGTTGGGCAGCCAAAGTCATTACACGGAACGAACAGTTAAGTATCACGCATTAAAGTGGGATTAGGACCTGGTAAGCAGCTGGACCTTATAGATCAGTTGGTAGAGAACTGGGTCGGCAACATATAGGCCCTATTTTTCAGTCCTTCTTCATCTTAAAGCACTATACGTCTTATGAGATTCCTATCCTACGGAGATAATCTAGTCCAATGTTCGATAGGTAAATAAATAGTCTGGTAATTAACCACAAGGTGATGTTTTAGTCATCGGTGTTGATCGAATTTGAATTTGTTCACTAAGTGTTCACCCCAAGAGACCATAGCTTCAAGTTGACTATGCTACCATTCATTAAAAATCATCACCTGCCTCTAATATAATTTTATGCCCCGTGGGGGGGGGGGGAAGAGAACAAATAGTTTGATTTGCCTGACAGTAATACCTTAGACTACAGCACTGTTCAGTAATTCTTCAGATATGTTCTTGCTGATGAGCGCAAACACACACGAAAAGAAGGTAGCTAACTGTACAATATTTTGATGAGATTGCTGTCCAGTGTTTTACACCGAATGAATCATTCTTCACTGAACTGTTTGTATATAAATTTTGAGGTTAATAAAGATTTTATTTTTTAGACAGTATTCATCGTGAACTGACTGACATCAGTTGAAGAACCATTGCAAACATTGGAGGGAGAACTGGACAGCTGCTTCATCCTAGTGTGGGACTCCTCAGCAGTACGTCCCCATGGATATGCGTTGAGAGTAATTTTGTCAAATGTTATTTCCCTGCTGATGGCTAATAATTGAACTTAGAGTCTCAGTGTGAACACTATCATTCACCGGGATGCGGGTGCTATCCAAGTAGCGACTTCCATAATACGAGTCTCTAAGTCAACGTTTATCTCATGACATTAGCCATTCATTCAACTGGTCATGCAGCTAGTAATCTGAAGACTGTTAGTTCGAATCCTGACGTCACTGGAGTTTTGTATCAAGTCTAGTTATTCTATTACAATCTGAAGATCAATCGTTTTATCAACTAAGGCCGTGTTAAATATTCTAAACAACAACATCCTAATCAATAATTAACTATGATTTTCATGCCGACTTTTGATGGTTTTTTTCTTTAAACAGCCGTACGTAAAACAAGGCTATATGTCAGGCGGTGGCGGTTATGTACTCTCACGTGCTGGTCTCATAAATATAGCCAATGGTTTAATAAACAACACAGATTGTCTAAGCAGTAAATATGTGTTTGCTGAGGATGTTAAACTAGGTAAGCGCATTTTTCTGTGATATATTTATTTACAAACACGTTGGTACGTCAGTTTGTAGGCTTATTCAACTGATGAGTCTTTAGTTAGAAGACGAAACTTATGGGGGTTATTTCAACACTTTTCCCATCATAGCTAGGTTAGAAATGAAGACAGGAGTAAGACAAGGTTGCCGCCTAGTATCACAGACGATCTTCCTGATTGTGGTCGACTGAACTGGATCATACAACAAACTGTGAGGAGCGAGAAGATAGGCATATGCCAGCTGGACCAATGAAAACACTCTAAAAGATTTGGATTTCGCCAATGATGATTAATGCCTGTCTCATGTCGCACAAACTCGAAGATCTACAGGCGAAAACCAACAAGTTGGCAGAAGAGGCTCGGCAGCGAAGTAAGACGGACTTCCTTCAGGCGAACGTAGTGAAGATAGAGGTGATGACGATACCAAACCAACAACAACCTGCACCGATCACAACGAACAGGAGAAATCTATACGAAGTTGTCTCTTTCACCCACCTACCTAGGAAGCTTCGTCTCAACTACAGGCGGCACAGGCATAGATGGGGACGTCAAAGACAGGATCGGAAAGACAGCAAGACAAACCTTCATTAACCTGAAATCAGTGTGGAGATATACTCCACTGCACTCAGCATAAAGTGTGAACAAAATCAGGATTTTCAACACTAAAGTCAGTCAAGTAAGGCAGTGTTTCCATGTGATGGTTGAGAGGCCTGGCGCGTTACAAACTGCACACATGCATTACATTAACAGATGGTGCTTACGCCCACTAGATACTGACACCGAAGATGGAGATAGATGGAGAGAATAATAAGCAAGAATAAGCAAGGAGGAACTCTGTGTGCTGGCTGGCTGGCAACGAACCAATCATCCAGCAACCTATCGCTCAACAAGTATGGAGAAGAAGAAAGTGAAGATGAATTTGATTGGGCATACACTGAGAAGACCGTTTGGGGACACCACGCGCCAGGTGAGGTCGTCGAGTAGAAGCCGCATGGGAAACGACGAGTAGGGTGTTCTAGCCGATGGTGACATGTAGGAGATGGTGTGAGAAAGAAATGAAAGCTTGTGAGCAGTGATGGGGCTAGGTTGAAAAGACTGTAGAAAAGAGAATGAAGCGTCGACGTACTACTGAAGCCCTATGTTTCAGTAGAAACCCAATAGACAATAATAATTAGCTAGTTTAGAAACGATTCTCAAGTGGAGTTTCAATAGGCTGGTCACATCTTCACAAGACTATAAGCTATTTTGACATGTATCACCATTCATGTCAATTGACAGTACTTACTGAGTTGTGATTTAAGCATTCGTAATTGGTTTCGCCTGTTCTAAATCGAGATGATCAGTAGTACACATACGGACATTGTCTGCCCAAAGAAACAACTATCTGTCCTGTTTTGTCTTTGAACCGATCGATAATCAAAGGATCAAAGTAATGCTGAAAAAAAATCTGCAGTTATATCTATTCAAAGACATGATACTGAGGTATTCGTGCGCATAGACAGACAATATTCCATTTAACTTTCAAGCTGTCTGTCGTGAGACGTTACAAGAATTCATCTTTCTTAGTAATATTACCAATGACTTTCTCCTTCTGATGCCAATCTATTTAATAAAACTTAATAATGGCCAACACTACCTAGGAAAGTAATTAGGGAGTTGGAACTAGTCATAGTGTAAAGAACAAGTGTGTCTATACACTTTTAAGCATACAGTAATGGTTTGAACATCCGAAGGGTATATACATGGTTCTCCTATCCTTAGAAGCTACAATCTCACCTTTTTAGATAGTTTAATCGAGTTTCATACGATATTTTAAAGATTTTTCTAAGAAGTGCTCAATGCATTAGTTTGAAGTTTTGCTGTGACAGTACTGATGAGAGAGACATTTTCATTTTCTCTTTGTGAATCACACAAGATGGTGTTCAAACTTTATTTACAGGAGAAACGTCTTCTGACCGTTGTTTTTCGTGATCTTGTATCGATAAACACAGCGAGTGGATATCAACAGAATGAATTTCATGGGACAGCTGAGTTTTTCAATAAATCACCCCTATTCAAACTGACGTTGAATCAGACAGCATTTTACCTTATCACTTAAGCCATTGTGAAGTGAATTATTAGGAGCATAAAACTGACTGTTATGAATATATGCCTTTGTTTATCATGCAAACATTGAGTTGACGGGTAGTCGGTGGCGAAACAAGAGAATTATGTTAACTAGTCACTGTACTCGACAAATAACCAACACTTAAATTAAGGTATAAGTGTGTTACAAGTCAAAAGTAAAATAACTAATTCTGATTGGCTATATAAAGCATGAAATTGTCCAGTTAGATTCATCCTGACCACACAGTAGCATAGATCAAAATTTCAAGCTCAACAATTTCTACCGTATCGGCCAATAACTTAAAGCGTTCCCCTGTATTTCAGCCGTTTCCTATCAAAGAAAGGAAAGGATTTCAACTGAATAGACCCTTCTATGTTACTTATTTATTGAATCTGTATAGTAGCTTATCTAGCCTCGGTAGCCTGATGAATGATAACATTCAGGTGTTTGAAGCGATGGGTTTTTGGTTCGTGTCTAGGTGGGAACATCAGCACTCGCCTGGTAGATCCCAAGTATATCTAGCTGACGAATCCTAACCAGGATGAAATGCCTGTCATGAATTCAACTGCTAGCCACCACGAAACGAATTATAATAAAATGTCACCTGTATATTACCTTAACATCAATATCTTTTGTTGTTGTTGTTGTTGTATTTTATCTAAGGTTTTTGCGCTGAAGCCACTAATGTAAGCGTGGCCGACAGTTTAGACTCAGAAGGACGTGAATGCTTCCATCCCTTCTCACCATCTAACATGCTTACAAAAGACCCTAAAGGTTATCCTGATTGGTTTCGAAAGTACAATTATCATAGAATAGATACAGTAAGTTGCTGTGTATTAAATTTATTCCAAAGTAACTTGTACTCTAACAGAGATTTATTTGAACCTGAGTTATTCAATACCTTTCTCAGAAACGTCTTAGCTCAACTGTTTCTACATCTTATCGATATTTTGAAGTCATCTAGTTTTACAGCGGGTCAATTGTAACCTTAGCGGCTTTGTGGTTAATTCTCTAACTGACTGATACAGGTTCCAATCACCCAGGCAAGACACCAGTTTCTTCGTGAGGATTGTAGATACGCCTTAGTGATATAAGTTTCAACAAGGATGAAACGTACCAACTTACAACGCAAGTGAGTATCATATACCACCCTAGATTAGAATGTTGTTGACCGCATTCACAGGTTAATCGATATGATTTATGTAGAAATTGGCTAGGGAGCCAAAACAATCTTTCTTTGCCTTGGAGCGGTCACTAACTATGACAGCAACCTATTATATGATGAAGCGATTGGTTAGTTAATCCAACTTCTTCGTAGAGCATAACATAGATGCATATGCCTATGGATTACACTGTCCAACATAATTTACCTAAGCTTAATTGGTTTTTGAGTTGTTTCTTTTTTAAACTGAGTTTGGCGTAGTCTTCTACTTTGTCTATACCCAAATGACTAATATAACAACAAGTACCGACACTTACATTAACGCTAACCCATGGCATGATTTGTCCCTCAGGCATTCTTACTCACGATGACTTACTCACATCACCTACACATTCTCAGGCCTTGTACATTTCCGCATACTTTAAGTAGGTACATTGTTCATTTAGAATTGTGGCCAACGCAGAAGCTCTACTGTGTTTGTGTTGGCTGATAGTGTAATAAGTAGATGTTTAAATTGGCTTTTAACCATAGTGGAGGAAGTACCACACAGCATTTTATGAAAAATTAAGGGAGTTTCGCACAACAACTTCTGGGTGCTATTTTAAGACACGTCTGTGCTTCAGAACCATGCTCAGGTTTCGAAAAAAACGACTCTTCGATTTCACTATAGACATCTCAATTTTCGAGAGGTTTGAGGGAACCATATGTGCTAACAGTATTGTCAGAGAGTTCGACACTTTATAATTGCACAAACCCTGAAAGGTTACTTCTTCTTTGTTTACTTGAAAAAGAAATTAGGTTAATTTTGTTGATGGATCACTGCAAAGCCTATAAGATATCTACTTGAGGTTGGTGGAACAGTACCTTTTTGAAATTCTGAAGATAAACTTCCATCGATTTACATTCAGACAGAAAACCAACACGAGGGGTACGAGAATACTGCAGGACAAGAAGAAATGGGCTATTTTTGACTCCAGCAATTTCTTACCCCTCTTTTCATAGGTAAGGTAACATTAGCATCATACTGCTGATCATCTATAAGGAACGCTTCACTGCTGTGATATCTCGTCCAGCTAGCAGTATGACTTGGCTGGCAGACCTCCACCATTAGTGGTAATTACTGTTTGTCTTATCCTATCTAGCAGGCCTTTTTGGAATTGTAGGGATTGAAAGAAATAAGCGATTTCACCAGCTTTTTCGTTGGGTCAATGTAATAGGCAAATCCCACCACCACATCAATGTACTACCAGTTGTCAGTCTTCAGAAGAATATACAATTTTCCAATAGCATACCACTGTCTATCATTGTCTGTTGTATTTATCACTGTCACTATGGAATATGCATATATGTCTGATGTGAATAACCACATCATCAGTAGGAGCTTTGATGATGCTTTTTCAACCAGTTGATGGCGTTGATCATTGATATTTATTGTTTCTGAAGGCTAACATCAAGTTTCATAAGGATCGTCAAAGTACAGACTGGATATGAATTTGAGGGTTTATAGAACCAGGTATAGGGATATAGAATAAATAATAGGAGATATTTGATACTTGAAGAGAGATTGGTAATGTTTTACATGTGTATTTCTGTTCAACTTTGTAATCCACTTTATCTAGGAATCGTATTCATGAGAATTCATTTTATTGTCTTGCTCAAACTACTTTAAGGTTTAAATGGATAGAATTCACTACTGGATTACATGATTCGCCTTATTCCTACAGTAGTACTCGGCATTTTACATCAGCCTAAGGTGAACTCACAGACTATTTATTATGCTTTCAAAGTAATTCTGTGATCAGGTAATCATGATCTTTACAAATTTTCCCTCTTCAGTAGTTACGCCCCACAAATGTATAAATTGTGATGAGAAGTTGAAGTGTTAGTAAGCAAGTGGAACAATATGAGCAGTTAATTGAACTACACCATGTTTATTCATCTACTAAAATATTGATTGCAGAATATGAGATTTTCACTACTGAATGTACGACAACAGTGACGTCTTCGGTTTAGACAGTACATAATACTATACAAAAACCAGTGAGTTACTAACTCGTCATTAGGTATGATTTGGCTTATATCAGTTTTCAATACCATCTGCTTCTATGGTTATTCAGCTTAAGCTGAATAAATCCACCAACCCCGTACGTGCACACACACACACACACACATACAAAGTGATGACATTCACGTGTATGCAGATTTTATACTCAGTTGACAATACGATGATTCAGTGTATCAAAGTGGATATTTGAAACAAAATTGATTAAACAAAGATACGAATATTGGAGGTATAAAAATCAAATATCGATTAATCGGTAGATTTACCCGTGAATTAAACCAATCAGAAGATGAGTGAATTCAATTGGCTGCACTTTAAGTGCGATAAGACTAACACGGTATATTCTCTCACTTTGTATACTCCAATCAACAAGTTGATCAAATGAAACATTTTGTCAACAACTACATCAAAATACTGTTGATAATGGTGTATAGAGAAACACTTAAATCTCCATTGCACTTAGTCCTAACCTGCAGCTCATAGTTCAACCCCTCCCCCCCCCCACTCTGAAATATAATTCCAGCTGTGAACTATAATACTGCCGAACCTTGATATTCAGCAGTTATACCGCTTTCCCCGAGATTATCACATCACACAAACTTTGCTTTCTAATTGCTCACAGTATTTGGACATCTTATCATACCTGTGCTTGAGAATATCCTTAAGAAGGAAGGTTAAGATAACAATTAAGGCATAACTGGTGAACAGCTACAACAATAGAACATATCATTTGACTGTTTTGAATAGTCGAGTTGTGTTGTCTGAAGGCATATCTAGATGGATGGATGGATGGATGTATAGGGTTATCAGTAAGTGTACTCTAAATAGCTTACTATCTATGATCGACGAATGTATTCGAACATTTTTAACCCATTAGCCTATGCCTCGTTCTCATCATACGTTAATAATAACAAGAATTTCTCTTTCTGAAGTAATCGAATGATTTACAAAATTAGTAGTATATGTTGTAGACAGTAGTCAGAAGTTAACAAAAAGAAGATTCAGTGAAGAAAACTTTCTTTTCGACCAATGATTTTCAAAAGTTGTAAAATCATACTCATAATTACAGCAAAATTGTATATAACCATCGACAGATAATAAATAGGTCAATTCAATGTCATCAAAAATGGTCACTGTAAAGTGAAAACGACCACAAGGTCAACTCAAGGTCATCAACCTCATCAGCCATAAGTGCATATACATTTTGCTGTAACTATGATTACTATTGTACAGCTTTTGAGAATGATTAGTCGGAAGGAAAAATTTTTCTTCACTGAATATCTCCATTCAAATTGAAAAAAGTTGCCTTATGTATGTATTCAAACTGCTTCAAAGACTAACAGTCTAACTAGTTACCTTGTCTGTCGCCAACTGTTTACGCAATGATTATAGTGAATGTAAATTAGAACGAGACATGTGTAAGTGAATGATATTGCTTTCAGTTAGATCCTCTTTAGGCTTTACTCTAATACAAATAGCTTAATGTATATAAAAATTAAACTAATCATGTAGATCTATCGGTTGTGATAAATTAATAATTGGTAGTGGGTACCAGTGGAATCCAGGTTGGGCATTTCGTCTTATTTGAGATTCATCAGAGGGATGTATCTGCCTCCTAGTGAGTGATATTGTTGTCACCGGGATTCGAACTCGGAACCGATCGCTTTAAACGCCAGAGCAATAACACGAATGTGATAAATGTTTTAAAATAACGATGGTGATAATAATACAAATAATAAAAGTGATAACATCGCATTTGTAATATAAATGATAATAATGATGATAAGAGCCAAGAAAGCAGGACGAAAATGTGGACACTCCGATAATCAAAGTGGGTCAGGTGCTCGCGTGGGAAAATAAAAGTTGCGTATTACTGAAGGACGACGTAAGTGGAAGGAAAGCGGATAGGAAAAAACTCAATAATAAAGTTATCAACTAAGTGTTCCCTGGACCAAGGGAGAGATAAGGGATGTACAAACTTCTTCTGGATACAAAAACCAGGACTATCAGCTCGAATACCTTTTGAAAGATGAGATGGTATGCAACGAATAATCATGAAAGAAATGTTCCTATCTACCAAGTGACCATTATCAACGAGGTGAGACAAAACCGAACTCCTGATGGCTTTTATCTTTCCCTTTCCCAACCATGAAAGCAGATGCTCAGCAACACATCTGTTAAGTTGTCTAATAGTATGACCTGTATGGCTTTCTTCACAGGACCAGCTAAACTTGTAAATTCACATAGAAATGGCAAAACTACATATCTTATCAACAACAATTGGTCAATTGGAGAGTGATAAACATAGTTATGCGGCGTAGAAAGTCCTCTTAATGGCTGTAAAGAGTCCCTGAGGTAAAACTTCACCGGCCACAACTCCATTAAATTGCAATTTCATGAAGAAAAAAAATAGTTTCTTTTGTACGGCAATAACTCCAGGTTTGTCCATGTGTCTTTTTTATGAAACTGTTTCAGCGAATAAATTACGGATATAATCTAACTCCTTGTGTACTAGATCATCCGAAGATATTCTTCTCACTCTGTTAGTAAGGCATTTAAACAGGTTTACTTTGTACGAAATGGATATGTGACTAAGAAAATGTGTGTACTGGCTTATAGATGTGGTTTACCTGCAAAAAACATATCTGCTGAATGAGCATCTCATTGCATTTTCTTAACATCACATTTGTATCCACATTATCATCCAGTATAATGAATTTATCATCAATATATAATGGTGAATGTATCAAACAGATAAAGCGATAGTTGAAGTTGATAGAATGAAAATTATTCTCAAAGAAATAGTGAGAAAGAAAAAAAAAGATAATGCTTTATTACTGATGAATCTTTTCGGAGAAGGACGAAACAATATATATTACTATTCATTGTTATATTTTAATTAGATTTAGTTAAGTTGTAATATTTTCATTTATTCCCCTTTTTAGGGATTTGATTGTTGCAGTGATTATGCTATCTCTTTTCATTATATTACTCCAGATGAAATGTATCTTTTTGAATATATGCTATATCATTTACATCCATATGGTATACATCGAGACTTTATGGATTTAATCAATTTTCTACAGTATAATAGAATCTCTTAGTATATACAAATTTTCATATGAATCTTCATTATGAAGAGATAAAAAATAAAGGAAGAAGGAAATTTGTAAAAGTTTTCAGTGTCTTTCATCATTCATATAAGTTGCCTTATCGTTTCTGATGATTATCCTTATCTAATAAGGTAGATACTCTTTATGAAATTGATTTTCTTATTTCTTCATGCTTACATCTTTTTTCATTGTGTGATAATATTTTTCGACTAAATTTCTTTCATATAAGTGAAAAACTTGGACACTGTGGTAGAATGTAATTCCATATTCGATTTGTTTATTTGATATATATAGCGCACAGTGATACAGTATTATTTACTTGATTACGTTTCAAGCATAAATTATTACTGCTCATAATCATATCAATGTAATCACACTTCTTTCAATATCTGATTTTATAGTCCCGTCACCTGATCTCTCTTTGTTTTATGTCTTTTGATTGGTAGTAAAGTTTTCCATACCTCTGGTATAGGTGTTGTGTCATTTCTATTCCACATGTGTTGGGTGTGGATTCGATGAAGAAAGATCCAGTAATTAATCTCTCTCTCCACCTAGCCATATTAGACTTAAGTACAGTGGTTTTGTCCCATCCTATTGTGTGGTTGTGTGTTAATGAATGAATGTAATGCAATGGCCAAGTGTTTTTCCAGATTATTGATCTTATTGGGGTCTGTCCTTCTATGTTTAGCTAAATTCCTATGTTCTGCTCATCTAACTGCCCCCGACCGGCTAGTTTGACCTATATATTTGACCTCACAGTCATTACATGGAATTTGGTAGATCATATTATTTTGCCTAATTGGTTCTATCGGATCTTTTAGAGGTAAGCTTTGTCGGCTAAAAGATCCGATAGAACCAATTAGGCAAAATAATATGATCTACCAAATTCCATGTAATGACTGTGAGGTCAAATATATAGGTCAAACTAGCCAGTCGGGGTCAGTTAGATTAACAGAACATAGGAATTTAGCTAAACATAGAAGGACAGACCCCAATAAGATCAATAATCTGGAAAAACACTCGGCCATTGCATTACATTCATTCATTAACACACAACCACACAATAGGATGGGACAAAACCACTGTACTTAAGTCTAATATAGCTAGGTGGAGAGAGAGAGATTAATTACTGAATCTTTCTTCATCGAATCCACACCTAACACATGTGGAATAGGAATGACGCAACACCTATACCAGAGATATGGAGAACTTTACTACTAATCAAAAAACAAAGAGAGATCAGGTGACAGGACTATAAAATCAGATATCCGAAGTGGTGTGTGATTACATTGATATGATTATGAGCAATAATAATTTATGCTTGAAACGTAATCAAGTAAATAATACTGTATCACTGTGCGCTTTATATCAAATAAACAAATCTAATATGGAATTAAATTTCTTTCAATTTATACATATCAAATTTTTTTTAATGATTAGGGGAAAGTGTCTTCTTCTTTTTTTTTTCTGCTTCTTTTATTCAAAGAAAGAAAACTTGTACAGTTCAAGTGTAGTATTCAATTTTTAATTTGTTTACTGGTTCATTTAGTTTCTGAGAAAATACTTTATAAACCTAATTGAATTTATTTGTTATCATTGTATTTCTTTCTGGTTACAAGTGTATATCGTTAAAGTTTCAGTTTTTCAATCGTATCTTATACTCTCTCTCTCTCTCTCTCTCTGTCACATATTCTCTTTAGCGAATACACACAATCAGATATATGAATGTGCAATTTATTGTGTGCATTCGCATATCTAGACACACATATATTTTATACTCATCTTAACATTCTATATTAAATTTTTGGTACCGATGACGTTTTATTATCTATCTGTACATTTAAAGAAATTATCACATAGTGTACTAAAAGTGTGTTTTTTTTCACTCTTAGTGAGAGAAAGTGTAGTGTAAATCAATAAGCATGTTTCATATGAAGTTAAATGTACAATATTGGTAATGGTAGTAATTGTGTTTTACTAATTGAGCTACTTTATTATAATTTCAGTAGTATACAAATAAAAACAAAATTTAGGCGATGCTAGTCATTCGTTACCAGTTGTCACTTTTCCCTGCATCATTGTATCATGGTGTTTTTTTTCTTCTTTCGGCTATACCTTTAATTAAGGATACTTTTTTCGTACCATTCAGAAGTTACAAGCCTCCCTTTCTAACTAAAAGCAAGAAATTTCACTGAAGTCGAAACTCAGCAGGCCTTAGACACTAGAATGCCTTTTTTAATAATATTGTTGCTTGTATTATCCCGTCGTTGATTGGATTGAAATAATCAATCTATATTGGGATATAGGTTCCTGTGTCCATGCCTCGATATTGCTTGAATGTTAATTATGATAATTTAGTTGGTTGTTGTAGTTAGCAGAAGAATGGAGGATGGGCGTTTCGTCCTACTTGGGACTCGTCAGCTGGATGTACCTGCACCCCAGTGAGTGATTTTGTTCCTACATGGATTTGAACTCGGGACCGGTCGGTTCAAATGCGTGCTATCCACTAGACTACTAAGCCATGATGGCCACCACTTGTGCAACGGGTATAATTTGTTTTAAAATGTTGTCGCTTATATTATCCCATCGTTGATTAGACCAAATCGATCGGCCTTTGTTGTGAACTCGCTGAACATAAATGAATAAAGTATTCTAAATTATGAGAGTTTTTTATGAGAAAGAAGTACATCCATTTATAATAAGTTTGAAACACGACAGACTGGATTGTAAATTTCACATTTCTAATTACTTTCATAAAAACGTGATTGGTAAGAATATTGAGGACGTATTATAAACAATTCATGTCTGAATAGATTACCTATAAAAATATATTAATTTTTCATGGAGCTGATACATACTTCCTGTTTAAGTTATATAAATAAAATACCCTAATGGAACTAGTTTCTCTTAGCCAAGGATAATTTATTCACCAACTATGAGATAGAAATAAAGCAGAATATATTTGAAGAAATAAATGAAATCATGACTAGTTTTATTTTTACTATTTATTGACATATTTGTTATTCTCCGTTGTTTGGTTCGACCGAATTGTTCGACCTCTACTGGTATATTGGCTCGTATGCGGATGCCTCGATATTGCCTGAATGTTAATTATGATAATTTGGTTGGTTGTTGTAGTTAGCAGAAGAATGGAGGACGGGCGTTTCGTCCTATTTGGGACTCGTCAGCTGGATGTACCTGCACCCCAGTGAGTGATGTTATTCCCACTGAGACTCGAACCTCGTAGCCATGTCTTCAAACGCCAAGGCGTTATCCACTATACCAGGGAGGAATGATAGCCATTTCTTTAGAACGGGTAGTAGTTATTACTATTCAATAATTTTACTTGTAATTCTCCGTTGTTTTGTTGGATCGAATTGTTCGACTTCTATTAGCATATGGGCTTCGATATTGCCTGAATGTTAATTATGATAATTTAGTTGATTGTTGTAGTTAGCAGAAGAATGGAGGATGGGCGTTTCGTCCTATTTGGGACTCATCAGCTGGATTCTTCTGCTAGTCACACCCAACCAGATTATCATAGTCCTCTTTTATTATTATTAACTGTGTCTACTTAAATTCGAATAGTATTCAAATGATCATTTTCATTACATTACAAAACGACTTATTAACGCAAATAGATGAAAGATGACGAGAAAAAAAAAGGATTGGAAGCAATAGTATAAACTTTCAAAGAAATTCATTGATATTGTTATTGACAGAGAAAACTTAGACTTTAAAAAAATCTGAAAATAAACTTTTAAACTTTAAGAAATATATTATTTCTTTTAAAATATCAATGATAAATAAACTGAAATGGAATTATAGTGAAATTGATCTAGGGTTTATTGTTTAATTTGCTTATTCAGCTATGAGTATACATACATGTAAATTGTTAAGTATTCTACAGCTTCTCTTCAAATTAATGTTCTCTGACATTCACCTATGGTAGAATATTCTGTTTTATACATATTTGGTGCTGTATAAACTACACTTGTTCCAGGATCTTTAAGCAAAAAAAAGGAAATAGAAAACAAACGAAAAAGACAATGATCATAAGGTATATATTAAAAAGATTATGATAAAACGTTAAATAATTACTAAGTGAAGAAACAAACTCTTAATTATCTTAGCCTATTAACCTACATATTTAATGTTCAATTAGATAACTGACACCCTTCCCCTTAGATGGGTTAGGAATATGCTTTTAATCTGAACACTGAAAACGTTAGACCTTACAAGTTCATTAATCGAAGAGTAACCTATTCATATACTTACAACGTTAATTTCATTCGATGCATAGATTCTTCATGACATGGGGTGAATAAAAACGTATACAAAGTGAGGGTGAAAGAAGCAAGGAGACAAGTATAAAGGAAGGAAGGACTGTGTATGGTCAACAAGCGGGACAGTAGTCGTTAAATATGGTACACCTTGCACTAAGACAGTCATTTGCATAATGTGCTTCATTTCCTCTTCTGTTTATTTCTTAGTTTGCTCTTCATACACCTGCCTTGTCTCTTGCGTTTCTCTTGGCAGAATTCTTACCTATTGCTGGTAATTCCTTATGATTTCTGCTACCCTCTCAATATATACTACTTATATCCATTCTAATCAGCGACCCCCACTACAAGCAGATATAATCGAAACAGCTGTAAACAAATGATGACGTCATATGGTCTTACAGATATTAACATTCTTTGTGTGATTGATATAAATCTTTAAGAAGGAACTTGTTACATTCAATACCACTTAATTCTCCCATTGTGTATTGATGATTGAAGCAAACGTGACCTTGAGTTTTTCATATGATAGCCATCTTTCAGAGATCTCTATCATTGCTAGACCTCTTTTCATATTCCTACTAGTGTTTATCGCATTACGTTTAACATTAATGAAAATGCATACCTGATATGGGGCTAAAGGGAGGAACCTAGTCTAAAGAGAGACCAATCAAAATGCATTTTATGTTATCACGTCTGCAGTTAGACAGACAAACAGACAGACGGTGGATCAGCCAATCAATAAGATTATTTTAAACAGCGAACTATATATATATATATATATATATATATATATATATATATATATATATATATATTAGCTCCATCTATTGGGCCTTCGATCTTTCGACTTTAATACACGTTACTGCACGTCCATCGTGTCTTCTCCACTTAATTAGTCGGGTTGGGAATCAACTAGGAATTTGTTGAATGTTCGTGAATGACAGTTGATATTCGTGCATTATTAGCTGCCATAGTAGTTGCCGAAAAATAACAGTGGCGACGGGAATGGGATATTGGGCAATGAATTCTTCGGAATTGGACAGTTTCCTCGAACGGCAAACGAGGGTTATCGAGATAATTATGCAGTCCAAAATTTCTGGTACTGAATCATAGCACACTACGCCAGCTTTCATACCATCTTCCAGTTGACAGCATTACCGACAGAATCAATGAATTTCACTACGATCCTAGTGCCAATGAGACTTTCGATACCTGGTTCAAGCGTAATGAAGACTACTTCATAGTGGGTTTTGCTAGGCAAGATGATTCGTGGAAGGCATGTCTCCTATTTCGAAAGCTTGGTTCACCTGATCTCAACCAATACTACAACATGATTTCGCTACAGTCCAGACACTAAATGACATGTCTGTAGAATATCAATGACTGGGCAACCTGCAGCGTGATACGAGTTTAGCCCAATCTGGGCGCCAGGGTGGTTCCGAAGTACATATAGTTAGCCAGACATCTCATTCTCACACATCACCCTCTGGCCTTATCTCTCCGGTGTATCGAATCAGTAACTCCTTCGACACCAACCGACCCTCAAAGAAGACACCCCCAATCGCCTTGCTAGCATTGTGCTACCTGGCATTTTGTCAGATCTTGTCCACCTAAACAACGTCAATGCCAGGACTGTAATGCTGGTGGCCATAAGGACGGTTTATGCCGCCAACATACACAACGAAGTGTACAAACGTCATCCTCCAGAAATCTCCGCAGACCTCATTGTCTATTGGTAGGTAAATCTCTTGGCTTGATAATTGGTTTCCATGCTCATGTACCTGTCCACTAAAAGAATATGGAGAAGACTCCTGATCCCCTAGTAAACAATGAGAAGAAACTCCCTCTGCATCGACCAGATAGGTGTAGGAAAAAACAATGCTGTCCAGTCTGACCCCAAATAACATTCTTCCGAAGAGGAAGGTGATATGTGAATAGAGAGAAATGACTAGTTTGGAGAGCCATCAATCAAAATGTTCTTTATATGATCACGTCTACGTTTAGACAGACAGATGATGGATCGGTCAATCAATGGGATTATTTTAAATAGCGAACTATCTGCATATTAGCTACATTTTCTTTTGCTTTTGGGTCTTCGGTCTTTCTACCCCAATACACGTTTCTACACGTCCATTGTGTCTTCTCCACTTAATTAGTCAAGTCGGGAATCAACTAGGAATTTGTTGAACGTTAATGACTAACACTGGATATCATAACAATACCACAAGTATCTTTGTGTTTAGATTGCTACAAGTGATTTTTATGAACTCAATATACATGTACAGTGCTTCCTGAAGAATCCCAAACTAGGATGAAACAGCTGTTTTTTTTTCAATGGCTCTCCAACTGAAATCAGTTTATGATGACAAGTTTCTTGAGACTAGTCAACTTCTACAAAACACCAAGTCAAGCTACAAGCTAATTACAACATTTTGACAATTAGAGATAACTACTAGTATACAATCTATGCGTATGTTTGACAACTATATACAAAGTTGTTTACAAGATGAATGAAAAATTAAAATTTCAACATCTTCAGCATATTATCAATGAGTTGTTTGAATGGTTGAAGATGGGAGGTGGGGTGGGGATTGAGAATCTGATCACACCAAGAACAAATAATTTCTTAAAATATATTGACAGTTTTCATGTCTGGAAACTGAAGTCTTCTCCTTGTTCTTCTTAACAGTTTTTGAGTGATTGTCTCTTAATGAAAACAGCTTAGTAAGTATAAAATAGTGGAAGTATTCTCAGTATTTTAAGTATATGCAACAATCATTGATGAAGCTGATATCCACTATTGTCTAAGATCAAGTGTAAACTCATGGAATACTGAACACTTGTTTATACCTCCTAGCCCAATTATATTTATTATTAATCCCTTGGGTTCCTAGTGGAACATAGGGCTTCAGTAGCACGTCTCCAGTCCACTCTGTTCTCTGAGATCTTTTGAATCTGGTTCCACGACAGCCCGCAAGCTCTCATTTCCTCCTCGCGCGATCTCCTCCACGTCACCCTCACCACGGACACCCAACTCGTCGCTTCCCATAGGGATTCCACTCGAGTGCCTGGCCTGACGCGTGATGTCCTCAGTTGGCCTTCTCAGTGCATGCCCAATCCATCTCCACTTCCTACTGCATATTTGCTGGGTGATAGGTTCTTGGTTGGTTCGTTCCCAGAGCTCCTTGTTGCTTATTCTCATTATTCTGGCCATCTGATCTTCAGTAGCGAGCCAGCGTAGGCAGTTGTTGATGAATGTCAGTAGTTTGTTGGAAATCCCTTTCGTAACGCTCCAAGTCTCTGAACCATACAGAAGCACTGACTTGACGTTGGTGTTGAAAATCCGTATCTTGTTCCGCATGCTGAGTGCAGTGCAGAAGATCTCCACACTGGTTTCAGGCTAATGAACGCCTGTCTTGCTTTTCCGATTCTGACTTTGACATCCTCGTCCGTCCCGCCTGTAGTTGAAACAGTGCTTCCTAGATAAGTGAAGGAGGTTACTTCTTTTAAGTTTCTCCCGTTGACGGTGATTGGAGTTTGTTGTTGTTGGTGGTGGTGGTGAGGTATCTTCATCACTTCTGTCTTCTCTATATTCACCTGAAGTCTCGTCTTCGCTGCCTTGCCTCTTCTGACAACTTGTTAGTTTTTGCCTGCAGATCTTCCAGTTTGTGTGACATTAGACATAAGTCATCGGCGAAATCCAAGTCTTCTAGGCTCTTTTCCACAGTTCAGTTAGCGTATCCCCCTCTTCTCGCTGCCTACTGTTTGCTGCATGATCCAGTCGACCACAATAAGGAATATCATGGGGGATAGTAGGCAACCTTGTTTCACTCCTGTCTTCACTTCAAAATCATCACTGAGCTTTCCATTGTGAATTACTTGGCATGTGGCATCTTCATATAGTTGTTGAATGAGGTTGATAAAGGTTTGCGGTATTCCGTGGTACTGAAGCAGTTTTCAACTTACTTCTCAGTCGACGCTGTCAAAGGCCTTCTCAAAGTCGATGAAGTTGAGGTAGAGAGCTGATTGCCATTCTATGCTCTGTTCTATGATGATACGAAGCGTTGCAATTTGGTCCGTGTATGATTTGTACTTTCTGAAGCCTGCCTGTTCCGGTCGCAGTTTTGAATCCAGTGCATCCTTAAGCCTCTCCAGGATGATGCGGCTTAATATTTTACTTGGGGTGGACAGGAGAGTGATTCCGCGACAGTTCTTGCAAACACTGAGGTCTCCTTTCTTCGGCACTTTGACAAGGTAACCCTTCTTCCAATCGCCAGGTACCTTCTCTTCCTTCTACACCTTCTGCAATAGTGGTGTGAGTATGTCTGCTGTTGTCTCTGCGTCTGTTCCCAGTGCTTCTGGCGGTATCCCGTCTGGTCCTGCTGCTTTCCCACATTTCAGTAGCTTTATGGCGTTCAGGACTTCCATTTTCGTTGGAGTCCTAGCCCAATACTACCTAGAAATACTTATCATGGAGGATAATTGAAGTAATTCTGGTTTTGATGACTGGTAATTTATCACTAAGCTACTAGGTTTAGTTAGAGTGTAATGGTGGATAATTTCAACCACCTAAAACTATTTCATCAACAGATAAGTATGATCCCTTAGAGAACACAGTTTCTCATTAGAATTCTAGGAAGGCAGTCAGTATGAAAAAAGTTTTTGTTATGAGTATCGACTGAATTTGATGACAATAATTACTGACTTCTAGTTAAATCAATGAACAATAAAGTAAAGAGATCTTCATGAGTCATGTAACTGCTGGATTGGATCAAGGCGAGGCTGTACACACGATATTTCCTAAAGTCCTAAGGTCTGGGTTTATTAGATATTCCTCCAGTTAATTTCACCCATTAAGGAATATTAGCAAAGAATAAGTCACTTGTATGGAAACCACCTACAAGATATTTATTTATAAAGCTCCAATCTATCTGCTTGTCCACAGCCGAAATAATCTTTCATTTCACATAGTTCTCCTATGTTGATTTCGATGAATTTCTCCTTTTAAAATGTTACTGGAACTAAATCAAAACAGGATGTGAGATGAGTACCCCTATTCTGATAGATAGCTCGACTTTCAACCTGTTCGATCAGGATTCGATCTCTTCCATTGTCTGTCGAACTTCAAGTAACCATATAATAACATCAATATGCACATATCTTACACGACTAACTGCAATATACAGATTACTATTAAGGAAAGCATTTTAAACAATTGCCGAAGATCACACCTTTATGAACTTTGTGAAAGCGTGGTTTTTAATGGAAACTTTGTTGACACCACAGCTGGGCAGTTGAAAAACTACTCAACTGTGATAAATGTTGACGTAGATGGTACAATTTTTAAAACATTTGCAAATCTTTCATCTCTTATTTAAGGTATATCGGTCTATCCAACCCAGTTGGATTAAGTAGGTCTTAACAATTTCCTTGAATTTGTCCGGGTACATTGGTGATAAGTTCACTACCAAACGAGTGAAAAGTCTGTCCAGTGTATAGATTATTGTGATCGGGTTAGCGAAATTTATAGGTTAGCTTGCGTAGTTTCTAACTACTCATATTGTTAAGTAGAATATTCTATGAGCTTTTTACGAATTCAACTCTTCTCTGTTAAGTGTTGAAAACATTGAGAACCAGTTAAAAATGCTAACGTACCTGGTAGGGTAAATGGTGTTTCTACTGGACACACTTTATCCACCTTTCTCAATACACTGTTTGGACGAGTGTAATCTGATTGATAAGTACTTTCAAGACCTCTGAAACATCAAAACATTAAACTTTAATTGAATTATTCATCAAAACATCAAGGGTTTTTAACTTAATTAGGTTTCCATAGCAGAATAATTTCTAGATAAGTCTGAAACAATTTTTTATCTTAACAGTTACAAGGAATACTTTTGATACAGTATTCGTTAAAAATCTAATTGACTTTCAAGTAGGTCAAAATATTTCATAGGATATATGAAGACTTTTTTTACCACCGTTTAATCCTTTCTTCCACTGAGCAATGAACTCTTACGATAAACTCCTGAAAGGTGTTATGTCCATGTCATCAGTTGATATATTTAGTGGAAGACTAAACAAGCACACAAATCCTTTAGAAAAGAATCAACAAATATCCACAGCCTTCTATTTTGAAGCCTAAAATCTTAACCTAATCTGTATTTCTGATGGCTATTTTGTTCAAAAGTTCAGTCATTCGTATTCTAGACATATAATCTACCATTCATATGAATTTGATTATTGCAACAGGTTTAGGATTATATAAAGTTTATGAATGAGGACACTTTTGTACTAGTCACAGCTAGTTTGAATCCTGTTGAAAGTAAGAGTTTTCCCTCCACGGTAATTATTATCCAATTGTATTGAATATATCCAGGGTCAAGTCAGTGCTTCTAAATGGTTCAGAGGCTTGGCGTGTAACGAAAGGCATCTTCAACAAACTACAGACATTCATCAACAACTACCTACGCCGGCTCTTTACTGAAGCTCAGATGGCCAGAAACAATAAAGAACAAGGAACTCTGGGAACGAACCAACCAAGAACCTATCGCTCAACAAATATGCAGAAGGAAACGGAGGTAGATTGGGCATGCACTGAGAAGACCATTCGGAGACATCACGCTCCAGGCACTCGAGGGGAACCAAGAGGGGAAACGACGAGTTGGGCGTCCGAGGTGAGAGTGACATGGAGGAGATTGTGTGAGGAAGAAATGAGAGGTTGTGGGCATTCATGGAGCCAGGCTGAAAAGGTTGCAAAGAACAGAGTGGGATGGAGACGTGCTACTGAAGCCCTATGTTCCACTACGAACCCAAGGGACAAATAATAATAATAAGGTTGATTGATGTTTTAAGTTATTCATACAAAACTTTGAGTGGAGGGAAACAAATTCCAGTGCGTAACAATCGAAAAGGAAACAGAACATAGCATATCAGTTAATTTTTAATCTTTTGATATGAAAATAGCTAAAATTTAAAAAAAGATGATTTAGAAATAAATAAATGAATAATAAAGCCATCTACAAGTTCAAACCAGCGTTATGCATCCAAAATAGGGTACGTCCAGCCTTTATCTTTGCTATGACCATCATTCATCCTGTATTGGATAACTATACATGATTTCCATAATCATTTGTTGATTTTCCTACTCTGTCATAGATTTAACCTGCATTATGTAATTACAATTTTATTCTCATAATCCCCTGTTTATTTTCTCACTGTAGCCTTAAATATGTGTTAGTTAACTTCTTTCAGTTATTCAGTATATTTTACCTCTTAACCGAAAATAACTATGAAACGTTCTGCTCACTATTTATTAGTAGGATACACAATATATGAACCCAGAATAGAAACAGTGAACCAACACTAGATCAATATGAATTTGAATGAATTACAGTGTATTAGTAAATTAAGATCATAATCAAATAAAAACGTACGTGTGTGGTACATGATTTGAAATTGGTTGTACGCGTACATGATCTGTGGCATAGTTGAACTTTAATGTATCAAGCATAGGTTTTTTTTCATTTCTAACACCTTCTTTAGGCAATGGACTATGAATAAAGAGTATAAAAATCAAAGTAAGAAACTAAATGTTATTACGCTTAACAGTATTGAATAAATTAAATACTTTGGATAAATGTATGTGAATTTCATCAGAATAACTCTAGTATCCCTTTAGAAAGTATGCGTAATTTCTAGAAGACTTCATGGCTTTTGTAGTTGTATTGGTTTATCTGACTTTGCCAAGGATATACATTCTACTGCAAGGGTATAGTAAAATATTGATGAGTTTTGTCAAAGTGAAACGATCATGTTCACAGTGAACGTTACTATAACTATCAAACGTTCGATCGAAAATGAAAAACTTTAGTATAAACCTAGATTTCAGATCTTCTGTCCATTAATGAATACGATTATTACATCCCAAATAACTCAATGGTAAAACCCCATTACATCTCAAGGTGGTACAAGTTTACACTTCTGTTAGGACGTAATTTCTATTGAGATTGGAGATTTGACCTGCCGATGGTTGCTGACAACTGCATAAAACAAACTCATGAAGCAGATACTACCGATTGCTTTTGATCGATAAGTATCTATTATCCTAACCTTATTAGTGGTTGGATACTGATCATTGCGTCTGAAATTACCAGTCAAAGGTTCTGCATTTGAAGTAAGACTGTCAGTTGACAATCACTTTTCAGTCATATGTGGGACATAAAGCATTTCACCTAGTTCTTTGAAAAAAGAGACATAATAATTCATTTCTAACACACCAAGATTTCCATTTATATCTTTCTATTCGTTATGGCGTGAGAAAGAGGTGTAAGCAAGCGAACTACACTAAACTCAGTCAGTCATTCAATGGAACCTGGTTCTACTATGAAGTGTTTCAAGCTGTAACATTTTACACCACCCCATCAGGATACAATGAGACAAAGAAACAGAAACGTTGTGAAAATGTTTCGGTGAAGACAATAAGTGAGAAGTAATTTTAAATAAAATAACCAAATTCGACAAACGTTTAGGATCAAGATAGGGTACTGGTACTTCTGTGACGCTGAGGTCGATTTCAAGCAAAGTTACTTGTAGTTCCCAATAGTCAGTTTTGGTTGTCTTTCAGACCCTGAACTGCAAGGCTGTATTTCCCTAAGTGGCTCACACCAAGGGTCAGAGGCTTTACGACTGGATGTCACGCTTGACTCTGATCATTCTAAGCTTTGTTTCCAACCTGAATCTACTTTGGTAAATGTAGCATGTCAGTGGTGACGGAGCACTGCAATACATGTTCCAGCCACCTTATTCGATAGAGATGTACAACTTTATCAGTTTTACTCACTCCTCGACTTAAATTCGGAGTCTAATCTCTAAATAGCGTGCTAGTTGGTTCCATGACATCTAGCTCAGCCCATGAAGGGCATGGTGGTTGAAATGTTTACTACCTGTGATCGGTTTCACTTTGCTAGTACACATTCTGCTGATCTCACAGTCTCAAACAAGCTTTCTACTATTTCAAGACTCACTTATAGTCCTTGCTAGGATGTCCTTCTGGTCTACTGCTGCTCATTTTTAGGTGAAACTGAAAAAGGTGTACGTTTCTGACGCAGAACATCAAACAGCTGCTTACCGCAAAACAAACAACTAGTCATTGTTGTGACTGACTGACTGCACATAATTTGAAAGTTTTAACAGTTTCGTGACAGGAAATAAAATCAAAAATTTTTGGCTCAAAATCCGCACATGTACTCGTATGGATGACTTACATTGGACTCAGCCCAAAGCCTTTTGACTTTGGGTAATCTTTCAAGTTCCAGTAGGTGGCGATATTTTTTTAGCCACTTCATTGAGTTCCTCGTTTGTCCAGAATCTGTGATCTTTCATGTAAGTTGTTAGGTATGGGTCAAGGTTTCGTAATATCTCCTTGTCTTTAGGATACAGTATTCTACCAGATAGGTCTGGGTTTGTATTAGATGCAATAATTTTCTTAATTTAACTTGTTATTGACGCTTAAATTTACCTTAGATGGTCCATCTTTATGGTGATTCTCTATTTCAAAAGGCTGCATTGACAAGGGACGCCAAAGTTCAATAGGGTCGTCAGTATTGCTGAATGATTCCCTCGTTTCTGATTTTTGACGGCTTGGGCTTAGTGATCCTCTATAGCCCCCAGAAAGATATCGTGAACGGAATTCGTTTATATAATTAACATCCCAGTGGTGGGGCGGTAAGGGATTACGTGGGTTTCTTAAAAATTCAGCAGGAACCTTTTGATCATACACAGACTTATTCGTTGTTTCGTAGTGATCCTCAGTCTTAACTTTTGACTCAAGTTCTATGCCACATGGTACTACATTATTTTGTTTGGACTTAATTAATTGATAAACAGGATTAGCAACCAAGTTCAGAAATTTAACAATACCATAGTGATGGAATCTGGAAAGTAAAATCCTGGTCTCCAGTGATGTCCAACTCCATACGATGTCTTGAAAAGATCATCGTTTGACAAACCAATATTGAGATTCTGTTTTTCATTCAAATTAGGCATATTTTGTAGACCACTTGTTGTCATAACAACCATCCAATATTCAAGATCCAACATCAAACTTCAAACTTTGTTTAGTAGAATTAGTGAACGGCGGTCCCTTGGGTTCTGCGTCTGCCTAACTGGAATACGTTCCGAGTTTGGAATGGTCATAATTACCTTCCCGGTTCTGATAAACCTGAAAGGATAGAGATACGATTGATTAATTAATCTGGTCTCAAGGTAGTATCATTGCGTCTGATCTGAGGAAAGCTTCTCAAGTATAGCCCGTCGGAACCGGAGAACTCGAGGTGTGCATCTAGCCTCCTTTTAAAAGTTTCAGGGGACAGAGCTGTAACAACTGCTGAAGGGAAGGAATTCCACAGCTTACACACTCTAACTGCATATGACTTAGCACGGATCTTGTACGTGCTCTCTCATACTCTATTCTCAACGGGTGACCCCTTAGGTCGCATTTCCGACTAAAGCTTAGAAGGGACTGTTGGGATGGAGGGGACTATGGGCGATGTAGGACATCATGATCATATCCCCTCTGATCCTCCGGTATTGTACTGGGTGCAGCTGAAGAGCAACTGAGCGGTCTGGGTACGGTTTGTGCCGTAGCCTGACCACTTTATTTTTAGCTCTGCTCTGCACCCGATCTAGGATGGCTGTTTCCTTTTTCAGGTATGGGGACACCACAGGCGAACTTTTTTCTAGATGAGGGCGAATGTACAGATCATATACTGTTGTGAAAAGAGAAGTCAGACATCCCGAAGTTCGCGAGAGAAACCCCAGGATCCCATAAGCCCTTTTGGCTGCAAGGTGACAGTAAACCGAAGCTCCTAGTGCATTGTTTAGTGTAGCCACCAGATCACGTTCCATGTTAGTGAGGCAAATATTTATTTCACCCAGAGAGTAAGAAGTCGGACTGCCTTTATGTTTGTCAGATATCATAGTTCGACACTACTTCGATTTGAAAGGAAGCGGGTTTTCTGTAGCCCTGTAATCCCCATCTGATCCCTCGCGGGTGGCTTTTCTAGCTTTATCTGTTGGTCCCGCTTCCACTCATGTATTTCGAAGTCCTTCAACCACCAAGTCGCCAAGGTTGTTGGATCACTGTGATCTAACGGCTGCGAGATGCTTCGAACGGTTCAACGGCCACCGCAGGAGCAGAAGACGATTTCGCTTGACTGGCTTCCGCGTTTATAATGATCGGATCGCTAGTCTTGTGGTTGCTAACCTGAGTAAAAATAAAAATAGAAAGGCGCGGTTGGGCCATGAAAATCATCGCAGCTCTCTTCACTATTCATTTTACAGTCAGTAAAATGATGTGTGCTACTTGCCGCTGGAGACGGTAAGACAGCTGCTTTCTGTGTATCTTAACCTGGTTGTTGTGCCCATTTTTCTGCGGCCACTATCCCGTGCTACTATAAAAATTTTGATAACCGTACCACCACCTTTCGCTTTGATGCAATGTTTACATCTTGCACCCAGTATCGAACGTACTTGAGCCCATATGTTGGTCGATAACCTTTTCTAAATATTTCGCCAGGAATATGTGTAGCAATCTCCATAATTCACGAATATGAGCCTTGGTAACCCTATTCATCAGATGTTGTTGGTGCAACTTGGCTTGCCACACTGCTGTCCGCAGCCTTGAACACGCTTTTGATAATGCTAGTACAAATGTCATGCAAATGTTTTCTGCGCAGTCCACAGTTTGCATTTGCCTTGTCTGCAGCATACCGAGTTCTGCTGGCTTGCGTATACCATATTCATGCCTATCAAGAGAAGCGTATGATGTAGTCGGTTCGTAGCGTCAGTTCCCTGACGCAGCTATTTGATTTGAGCCGATGACTCGTTTCTGCATGGTTGTAGAGTAAGGTGTGTGCACGGATTACGGAGAAAAATAGAAATTCCTTCAAAGTTCATAGCTGCACAAATTTCAAATGGCGTTAGGGAATATATACAGTTTTTACAAAGGTATGTTCACACTTTAGTGCTGTTCAAGGATTTGGAGGATATAAATCTGAATTTCAGGTTCTTGGGGAGGTAAAGATTCTTAGCTGAAGAGAATGCTGAATCCTGGGATCCTACTGACAGCGCACCATCCAGATGGAAAGAATACTTTTCAAGTGAATACCAGCGGGCACTTTTCACCCCGTCGTCCATACGAAACCCGAAACTGACGCTGTTGTTGAGACGCTGGGGAGTTACAGTTTGCAACCGCTGTAAACTCATAGTTTTCCACAGAGGAGTTAAACTTACCCGCTGGCATAAGAACATTTTGTTTTGCGTTTCCTATTTCTGTACTTGACGTTTGCTGTCTAAGTGTCGGTATGGTCATGTAATTCTCGACTAAAAGTGGCACTAAAAACTTGGCACCAACAAAAATGACCCTGTCAGGTATATAATTTCTAAATGTCTGGCCGTTTACTAACCGAGGCCGTCTCCACAATGGCTTTTTGAATCATCCTTTGACTCTGGCCTTCGGAGATCTCTGAACATCAGCAAAGATTTTGGAGCTACTTACGCAGCAAGTAAGCTCTAGCGCAAGCACAAGCATACAGAGTTCATAAAACTTTCAAGTCTTGTGTATACATTCACTTATAGGCGCAAGAGACCGGTAGTGGGATCCCCATCCTCAGAAAACGGTAGTGTTCTCAATGGGATCCTTGCAAGCTCGTAAAAACACGTCATCTTTGGTCCGCCATAAACTTACACAGGGTTGTGTGACTCCTATTTATCTGCAGTCGGACTACTGGCCCATTCTACCACCTACTAGGCCTGATATCATTTTACCCTCGGCGTTTAATCTTTATTTTTTTTCAGTGGTTCACACTATGTGATATCACCCCTCACTTATAACTGCCTTTTCCCCCTCAAAGCTCATTCCGTCCAACATTATCTTCAAATGCAGACTTCAATAGTGGTTAGGAAGAGTTCTTCGATCTTCTTTGCATCATTGTAGCGTCTCTACACGCTAAAGCGAGGATTACAAAAACTTGAACCTTCCACAAGGATAACCATTTTCCGGTGCCAGACATGGGAGCGTAAAAAATATCACATCCACCAGGGGAACTGAGCCGGGCTTCTCTGGCTGTAGTATTCAGAGGACGGCAACCACGACGGTTAGTCATTACCCAAATTATTTCCCGTTCTTATAAACGCCTTAGTGAGAAGCCGTAGGGAACAGTTGCTGGTAGGCTTTCCTGTAGCGTCGCGTATTGCATTCAAAAACACTGACCATTCTTTTCGCTTGGCTTCACCCAGTTTATTTGCATGACCATACCGAAGTTCTTACTTCCATCGTTGTCACTATGAGTTGCTTCGGGCAAGAAACTGCTGCAGTCGCAAAAACCAATTTTTGTAGCAAAGCTTTGTACATATGTTTTGCTGTCAAAAACAATTTTCACAGAGTTAACTCACAGCTTGAATATGAGTCCGTTGCCTGGCAGCAGAGTGGTTTGGATTTATTGGTTTGCACTTTGCGTTTGGGAACTCTGGGGATTCCTTTCTTAGTTATGCGCTACTCGGCGGCCCATATCCTGTGTGTATGTTGTTGCAGCGAGGTGCTTAGAAGAGCGCGAATTGGATCAGCACTGGTGGTTTACCTAACCAGCACAAGAATTGGGGGAAGGAAGACGAAAACGAAGGCGTCAATCGATGACTCAGTGAGTACAAAGACCCTGCTTTCCCCAGAAAAGGTAGGTAGTGGAAAAATTAAATAATTCGCAGCGGGGAGAAAAGGTGACCTGGCAAAAAAACCGTAAAGTGAATTAGTGGGGCCCCAAATACGTTACAAGGCAATCAAATCCGATTATGGTAGGGAAAGCAAAACTCCGGAGAACATGCACTTCACTACCCCCACAACACAAAGCTTTGATTTTGATCTGAGCTTGGAACCAGGAGTGAAAAGGGTGGCTGTTCAAATGCCTGTTAACTTTGTGACTTCCCAAGTTGCCTGAACTGTCTGCTGAAAAGATCACCAGGCGATTTCCGCCGCCTTCTGTGATCTAAATCAGAGGCGTTCCACAGGATATCCTGGTCACTAAAAACTTGAGCAGCCGGCACGAATAAACCCCTATTTTCTTGATGCTTGGTATGTGCAGAGGACAGACAATTCTGTTCAAAAAGAACGTAGCTAATTTGATGTGGCACTCACTGATCCCCTGGGAATCCCAGGGGCAGTTTCTGAAACCCTCTTGCTACTGCCATTAGTTGGCAAACTTCTAAATAAAGTGCTTCCATGCTTACTCCTGCTTGCGTGTGTATCGAAGTGTGGAGGATGATAAGCAGACATTGAGTCCCTAGATAGTTCCAGGATGACTTCTAACGGCTGGAGTCTGGCGTCCGATACATCTGCTTGGACTGTGAATAAAAAGAAAGAAATGTAAGTCATCTTTTGATCTGAGTTGCGAAAAAGGGTGAAAGGTGGTTTGGCACTAACTTCTTCAGCGGTCCACACACTAGCGTCAGTCGAGGTGGAATGTTCATCAAAGCCTAAACAATTTCATCCCTCTAATCCAGCCATCTCGGGGCCCTCAATGTAGGCTGCTTCTTCACATGCTTCAGACTATATATCTGACTACACACATAGGCCCTCAGTTTAAGAGTTAATCATTACCTCAAAAACAATTCAGAAGGAGCACAAAAAAACGGCTAAATTGGTTGAAAGGTTAACACGAGAAAACAACTCGGCAATGGTATAACCTCAACTTACCGACGCTGAGCTACAACTGTAAAAGGGTGACCTACTCAAACTTCAAGCTTCGCGTTGAGGAATTAGTGAACGAAAGTTCATTTGGGTCTGCGTCTTATTGTAATACGTTTCGGTTCGGACTGGTCACAGTTGTCTTCCTGGTTCTGAAAAGTCCAGAAAGACGGAGGTAGCTGATCTTTAATCAGTCTGTTCCCCCTAGGTAATGTTAGCCCCCTTTATCTACTGATAACGAAAGGTCGCAAAGTGTAGCCTATAGATCCCATGAGACTCTAAATTCTCACCTAATGTCCTCCGGAAAGTGTCAGAGGCGGCTGTTACAACTTCTGAAGGAAGGGAGTTCCACAGTTCACGAGCCCTAACCGTAGATGAGTTACCATGGATCATCGTATGTGCTCTGTCATTCTCTGCTCTTAACAGGTGGTCCCTATGGTGGCGTTTCAGATTAAAGCTCAAGAGGAATTTGTTCGGATGAAGGGGGTTATAGGTAGTTTGACACATCATGATCGTACCCTCTTTGATACTCCGGTAATGCACCGGTTGCACCTTAAGGATGGCTAAGGGTTGTACAGTAACGCAACCACTTTTTTCGTAGTTCACCGAACCCGTTCTGAGTTGGCAATGTCATTCGAATATGTGAACAAGACGGGCGGGTTTTTTCGACATGGGTGAGAGTAACAAATCCGTAGTTTGGCTCTCTAGAGCATGCGAAAGAAACCTCGGTATTACATAAGCCTTGTCAGCAATAAGTCCCCTTTACTTCTTCGCGTAGGGAGGGAGCAGGTTTTCTGCAGTTCACCTTAGGATTTTGTACAGCTCCACCTGGAGGACCGAAATATCTGCAACAATTAGAGTTGATTATGACCAACGAGATGTGGTTTTTAAAGTAAAAGTTGTTGTTCTGAAGAGGTCTATGGGTAATGGCTCTTTAAAAGGAGTCGTCTAAGAGAAACCTTTTAAATGTCCAAGACGCGCTATAATCCCCAGTTAAAATCCGTGGCGTTTCTACACCGGGGGTTTCGAAATGGAGCACCTTGTTTCTTTTTGCTCTAGTCCTATATTCGCATCTTCATGTCTAAAGGACTGGGAGAAATTTGGCAGAAAAAACTTGTAAGTCCCATCAGACAAAGCGTCAAAAATAATAGACCTGATGCTCCTTGACTGCGTTTGTGTAAACCTTTCATTCGTACATTTTATCAAGTTTCAAGAAGTAGAATGCTGCTGAAGTACAGTTCATTTTCGTTTGTCCTTATCAACTTTGTTTTGTGCAAGTGTGTAGAAGCATTTCATCTCGACAAATCTGGGCCTTATCACTGCCACTATCTTCCCTTGGGTCACCCATGATTCTGAGTGCTTTGTACTTAGCGTTATTTTGATCCGAAATGGAAAAACTGTACAGGTAGCAAACTTCCATCTGTGGATGGTAGGAAGTATTTTGCATGGGGTGGGTACCCTAGCTTTTCGGAGTGTAGTTGCTTCGCTGTGCTAACACTGACATTTTTACAATTAAGACTAATCGAACTTGGGGACTATGCTGAATACTAGCTTTTTGCGACCTCGAGTGCAGCCGTTTCGTCGGAAAGGTTTGACGTCTCCAGGGTAGTTTCCACTTTCTAGGGTTTTTCTCCTAATCTTCTTACTGGTCAGAAATCTCTATATTCATTTGATTTTTACTCATTACTCCTTAAGTTACTGGTATGGACAAGGTTGTTTGTGCTTTTGAAAGATAAACATAGTCTCCAGTTCCTGACATTTGTTGGGTGATCTGAATATGGCATTCAATTATCGACCGAAAAATATAGTCCTATATCTGGTAGTAAAGGGTGTACCAAGCAGCTATGTAATATCAATCAAAGCTCATGAGTTATCATGTGGAGTAGTAGAGACAAGGGGTGCCCACCAGGGTTGCTCGCTATCACCAGTGATCTGAGTATATCTGGTATGTTTCGCATGAGTGAAGTTCAAGATGCTTCGGGGCCAGTCCTTAGTGGCTTCTCATAAGGATTGGGAGTGGAATAATTAAATTCCTTGTCAACTTCCTTTTCTTGATGTAATACATCAACCCGAATGGGTCAGGTGTTAGTGAAATCTCAGCTTGGATACAAAAACACCTTTTGACACTTATCAATTTGTAATATTTTTGGCGCGTAGGAGTTATCTGACCACTCATCATGTGACGGCTATAGTGCGCTGCAGTCCACTCTTTCCTGCTCGTTTATAGTAGAAGATATAAAAAGAATACAGGATTTTCTCTACAATTATTTTTGTGACATTACTTATGGCAAGACAAAATCTAAGTAGGACTGGGCACAGAAATGGGCCACGTCATGTTGCCACACCTCACAGTACCATTCTAACAAGTCGGAAGAGAGTGATATCAAAGCAGACAAAGATGTATGAGGGGAGAAATTTGAAAACCAAGGTTAGTTGAAATGTTCTAGCTTTAGCAAAGTGAATACATCCGCGCCATTGTGGTCGATTTTCAACCATATCACCAACAGTCTCCGACCACTGGTTACTATCTTATTGAGGACTCGAATCAATAAGTCTTCACCCACCTACACCACTCAGATTAACAGTCAGTAACTTCATGAACTGGTGCCATGTCTTGGTCTGATCACTCTGAACGTTCTTCTGAATCAATCCTCTTCCAGTTAATATTGCATGTCGAGGTAGTTGATGGCTCAGCATATGAAACACATGTCCAAGCCACCTCAGTCATGAAGGTTCACCACCTCATTGACTGACTTGCCTTCCTTGCGTAGTACTCTTGTCATGACCCTGAAGTTGCTCAAATTTTGATCTCGCCATACTTGAGCAGTGCTACGAAGACGCATGTAATTTCTTCATATCTGCTTTCAGCGGTCATGTCTCAACCACATAACAGGAAAGAAATTACTGCAACGCAGTACCCAATGGAAAACAAATTATAATCAGTAAATAAATAAATAATGCCGAAAGCATTTTTCAGTAAATAAAACTATTTCACTGTTCTACATTTCTAATAAACATTGAAATGGAACAGTTTACCCATTTTTTGATATGTAGTCAGATATCTCACTGCCACAGTTAACACTAGCTGACAAATGCTGAACGTGCATTTTGTATCCGAACTGAGATTCCGTGAGCAGCCAACCGTTTCAGGTTGATGCAACTCATCTGAAGTAATTGGTGCACTCTACCATTCCACTCATCCTTAAACTGGGAGTAGCTGCAGACCAGTCCTAAAACTTCATCTTACATTTGATAAGTACAGAATACTTACCAAACATATGTAGCCCAGTCACCGATTACCTCGTCACACAATGTTGGCCGAAGTAGGTCCAGGCTGGAAAAAGGCCCGAGGTGGCCAGACTAAAACATGGCACCAATTTATGAAGTCTGACTGTTGCTTTGAGCCATGTAGGGCGATTCAGACTAGGTGGTTGTGGTCCGCGGGACAAGAGGAACTAGTGGTTGGGGACTCTAGGGGACATGGCTGAGAACCGATATGAGTGGTGCACATATACACACACATTATCCTCATCTTGATGACGCTATACCGAATCTCACCATTTTGTCATTCCTCCTTTCTTTTTTCTCATGCTTTATATTTCTTCTCACTGTATTCTCTTATCTTCATCCTTCACCTCACCACCTTTCTACTTGATGTACTGATATGAGGTGTGGCAAGCTGGACCGTTACGCAGTAATGCCTGGTCCTATATTGATATTGATTGATTGACTGACTCATATTTTCGCTCAAGAAGTTCAGGGAACCCTGTATTTTGGCAGCGTCTTTGCCTAGCAGGGTGTCGTCTGTATACTCCAAGTCAACCCGATGCCCTTCAGAGAGTAGGTCATTTCCTGTGAACTTAGGGGTATGTCCACCAATACTTCTCTAACGGAGTTAGTCGGAAACGGTGAGAATGAGCATCCCTGCTGAACACTGGTTGTTGTCAGTTGAGATGATAATTCTCCATGATCCCTTATATGGCTGGGTGAATTCGGGTAGACAGCTTTGTTCAACTTGACATACTTGCTCTGTACTCCTGTCACGGACAGACATTCCCACAACGCCTCACGATTAATAGATTGTAATGCCCCTTTCTGATCGAGAAATATGGACAATATCAACAAAAGATCTGGCATCACTGCATAACTCTCGAAAATGCCATGCCTCACATCTGCACATCAAGCGATAAAAGAGACTAAAATAAAAGATAAAGGAAGGAGTCTAAAATAATGAAAAGAGGGGAAGGAAGAATAAGAGAATACTGAGATTCGGTATGAAGATTGAGATATAGATGATCTGTGAATACATATGTACCGCTGAGATCGATTTTCAGCCGTCACCTAGAGATTCCAAACACCGGTTACTGGTCGTTGACATTCCCCTACACTCCTCTGATCACCAGTCAGGGACTGAGGCCGTGTTTTAGTCTGACCGTCTCTAACTTTTTTCCAGCCTGAAACTACTTCGGCTAAAAATGTGCAAAGGGGAAAATGGTGATCTGGCATGTATAACAACCTAGTCATGAGTCGATAAAGGTTCACAACCCTACTAACTGAATTCTTTTTTCTCCTTGAAATTTCACACCTGACTTCCACATTACTAACGTGGTGACACCACAACGCAGCGTATTCTACAAAAGCAGCGGTGGTCAAGAAATATACCAAGTGTAGGCTTTTGGTATGTCTGTGTTCCATAGTGAGGCAAAGGGTGAAGACCCTGACCGATACATCCTCGTCTGAGTCTGAAAATCGCCTGCCTTTCTCATGTTTGTTGTTCTCAGGCTCCAGTTAAACGTTGAATAACTATGGACTCTTGGGTATGATGTTAGTCAAACCGATTCCCATATGGTTGTCACATGACTTTCGCTTCTCATAGACTGGGATGATCAGTGAACTAGACCAGTCTGGCGAAACTAAATCTGATTCCCATATGCTAATTAGTACCTCTGTTACTAACCAGTAATTCGTTGTATCTCTCTTTTAAGCCTTCAAGTGGAAAACTGTCACGTTCAGCAACTTTGCATCGTTTCAGGTTAGAAACACCTTTCTCAGCTTCGGCGAGAGTTGGAGGACCGGCACCTACGTACCATTCAGGTTAAGACTAAATGTTGGGCAACTGAAGCGTTACTGTAGGCTATCTGAACTGAGGTTAAAAGTGTTCCCCTACCCCCGAACTTTGTAGTCACCTGGCCTGAGAGGTTATTAGTGTCCCATCCTTTTCGGTGACGATTTCACCAACCATCGTTTTCTTCTTGCTGGTATCCTTAATAAGCTTAAATAATTGTTGGGTATTACCTAACACTGATGCTTTCCCTATCTCTCTCACTTTCGCTACCCACTACTGCTCGCGGTGATTGTGAATACACTTCATCAGCTGACGTTCAGGGTGTTCTTACTTGTCATTGTGGCTAGAACCCGCTGGAATCAGTCTTCTCGGATCACTCATTTAAGATGACGTTGTGGAAATCCACTGACGTTTGCTGAACTTTGGATGTAAGTGAGCAATTGTCATTGTCGCTGTTTATATAGTAGAAATAATATCACGCCAGATTTCCTAGGGATGGGGATTGCTGTCACGTTAAGATAAATGGTTAGCTATCTCCTCCCTAAATGTGTACTTGACTTTCTCATCTTCCAATTGAGCACAGATAGGCTTCATTGCCGCTTGTTTCCTGCCATCAGTAAGGTGCAAACATACATGCACGTACCAACGCGTGTTCAGAGTTCAAACTGGTACTCCAGGAAGAGCAGGAATCCTCCACTGGTGCTCCAATGATGGCTAACAATAACATAGTCTATCGGTGTCCATCGTTGGTTTGTTGTTGGTCGACGCCGAGATTGTCTCCCCTTATGCTTGAAGTTAATGCTGACCAGAAACAAATGATTGTCGGGACAAAGTTGTAGTAGATTGTTACGTTATCGGTTCGTTAGCGTATGATTTCGAAGATGTCTTCCCGACTGGTTCCGCTTTCCTACTTGAGCGTTACAGTTACCTGCTATTATGACTATGTTTAAACGTTTTGCTTTCTGTCGCAAAATTGACAGCTTTTCATAGTATTCATCTGAACTGCCTTCAGTGAGTGCGTAAACGGAGATTACGAATAAGCATTGGCTGGTCTCTTGACTCTTCTTAGTTCTTACAAGTCCACGCAGCACACAGACAGTTGTGTGGTATCCAGTCAAGAAGTACGCTTTCTGCTCTACAACTTAATGCCGTACCTGGATCAACGAGTCGATGCGGGCTAGCTATTTGATCTTCAGACAATCATAAAGTGGATTTCGAAGATTCACCACATTGGCCTGTTGAGTTTAGATAAATAATCACACTCGAGTCCTGTGTGCGTCTCTCAGGAGAGCAGCATATATCCATGACTCCAGATCCCAGAGTTCTGGTGAGTGACGCATATTGTCCCATTTGCTATGGGGTTTCGACGTTGAAAGCTCCACTGTGAAATTGACAATAAAGAAACTAGCAAGTGTTTCGCTGGCTTTGGTCGCTAACAATGATCACAGAGTGATGGGTTAAATAGGTTGTAAGAAGCCTAATATTGGTATCAGAAAGTGATGATAGAGGAGGAGACAAAAGTAAGTAGAGTAGGTTGTGTTTGATTGGGTTTTGTATACTAATTAAATTTGCGGGTGGCTGGAACTTTAAGACGTCTGGAAACACCCTTTTGAGATTTGATTGTTTTAACGCCGGATAGAAAAAGCCCATACTGTGGGCACCAAAATGACGGCTCATTTTGGGGGCAACCTTTTCTAACTCTGTCTTCTCATAGTGAAGGCAACATCAGCATAGTTCTGCTGGTAATTTGCGGGAAACATTGCTGCTCTCACACCCGTTCAGCTAGCAGTACGACTTCACCCTCTGACCTTCAACATACCGCAAGTTAAGCTATGATGATAGTTGCTTTTTGTCTCAACACTATCCAATAGATCCCTCTAGCATGGTAGGACTTCAATAAATAGGCGTTTCAGCCAGCGTAGCTCATTTAAGCGTTGTGAAACACAAGCACAACCATCACATTCAGATATCAGCTACTGGTTGGCTCTGTGAAAAATTTTGGGGTCATGCGAAGAGTACTACGCAAGGAAGGCAAGTCAGTCAATGAGGTGGTGAACCTTCATGGACTGAGGTGGCTTGGACATGTGTTTCATATGCTGAGCCATCAACTACCTCGACATGCAATATTAACTGGAAGAGGATTGATTCAGAAGAACGTTCAGAGTGATCAGACCAAGACATGGCACCAGTTCATGAAGTTACTGACTGTTAATCTGAGTGGTGTAGGTGGGTGAAGACTTATTGATTCGAGTCCTCAATAAGATAGTAACCAGTGGTCGGAGACTGTTGGTGATATGGTTGAAAATCGACCACAATGGCGCGGATGTATTCACTTTGCTAAAGCTAGAACATTTCAACTAACCTTGGTTTTCAAATTTCTCCCCTCATACATCTTTGTCTGCTTTGATATCACTCTCTTCCGACTTGTTAGAATGGTACTGTGAGGTGTGGCAACATGACATGATGCAATTCTATGGCGGGTTCTGCCTTGATTTGTTTGTCTTACATGTCACTCTTTTTGAAGCAGTCATGCTTGTGTGAAAAATTCTGGTTGTTTGCTTGAAGCTTAGTTGACCTTGTGTGTCGTAACGTCGGTGTTACTAATTGACGCACTACGGATAACAGCAGGAAGGTCCAAGAGCCAATGGAAGAATATGTTATCACTGAGTACTGACTTTCCGTATGATTATACCCTCAGAGCTTCTCGGAGGAAGTGTTTGCTTCAGCTGATTAATTCTCAGACGAGGGTGGACAATGAAAAAGGTAGATATGAGGTATTTCACTCTTCTTAAGACGGTCTCTTAAGAACAAGTTGATTTTCCGTTAGTTTTTTAGCTTGCAGCGGCTTTAAACCTTTTTTTATTATTATTGTTGTATGTGAAATATAACAAAATATGTTTGAATTTTACGTCTCTTTTATATGTGAGACGGTGCATGAAAAGAATATACTTCCGATCATCTTCCAGGAACTAAAGTGGGGGTCCGAGTTAAGAAATTAGTTATAAGGTTTAGTTGTTTGGCTCTTAAGCAATACAACTTTCAGTCTTAGTCATGAAAAAAAATGTTAGGTAGAAAGTGCTGTTTTTCAGCATGGGCTGAAAATGCGGTAATCCGGCTGATTATTTAGTATTTGACTTACGTATCCTTACTTCCTTTTCATTAATATTTAGGGTTTAGGGAGTTGGAATGCGATATGGTTCGCATGCTAATACTAAATCATAAGTCAGTCATTCCTTACTCCAGCGTCGAATCTATGAACACACAAAGTATGCAGAATTGTCAAGTAGTTTGAAATGATCACTTATAATTTGATTTGCAATTTTGCCAAATGTTTCCAAAAATATTATTGACAAGATTTCCGTTCACTAAAAAATGGCTCAAGACCACTGAACAGGTCTTTCAAGGAAAGCAGAAAGTTTTAGCTACACCGAGAGTACTTTTGCTAGAAGATGAACATAGACCCTTATCTCGTGTTTTCCTCGGACCTGCTTGTTCATTCTACCCGTAAACCAAATAAAAGTTTGGACTTTCACATTCAGGTTTACTGCGATTAAGAGTAATGTCTCACAGTGTACCGTATCAAACTTCTGTGGACAACTTCAGTTTAATGCCTAATTTCTTCGCTTTTGATGTCTAAATTACTTGTCCCTAACAAGACTTTTCTCGCTTCTAAAGCCACTTGACTCATTAAAGTAGATAATATTTCAACAATAACAGAATTGGTCTACTAAGTGCATAGACCGGCTCCAATTTTTTATTCTCTTGAAACAAAGTGATCAATTTTGTGGATTAGCAAAGTGCCAGATGCCACCAAATATTGATTTTTGACTCCGTAATGGTTTTATGCTGTTGGACATTGTTCACAATTGCGTTTTTTCTCTATGGCTTTGAAAATCTTCCTTTAAAATCTCTGCACTTAAAATTTTCTGAGCCTTTAATTGGGTACAATCCGGAAGACCAATCTGATAGGATTTCAGTGCAAAACAAAATAATGGTCTGCTACAAAATATCTTATTCGTATATATTCCAGTGTTATTTGTGGGAGAGTGCATTTTGTTACGCAACATGTCAGAATGTACTATACGACATAGGCATCTAATATTATCATGAAGTGACCATTGGTAGTGGCGTATCACTAGTTGATGTATTCCTTTATTCCCTTGAAAATTTGATGATACCTATAATACACAATATCACTACCCACAAAGTTGTCAATTGTTTAAGCCTTTCATGTTCAATCGGATTTCTTAATATCACATTCATCTTCTGGATTGTGAACGTACAAAAGTTATGGACGTGGATACACCTATTCCCAACCTTTCCCTGTGTACTATGATTGTTGAAGTAGAAATCAATTGGAAGGATCCCCAGTTCAACAAGGATACGATATAGTACCAATGTGGGAATTTGGCATGATAGTTGTAAAAGGAGGTGATTATCTGACCGGCACTTTAGAGGTGTTCAGAATCAGTGGTTATGGGTCTCGTGTGACATGACTGAAAACTATATTCTTCGACACATGTATTCACCATTTACCTTCCTGTAGAAAATCACTACCTTATGTGTATTTGTTTTCATCCAGTTATATTTTGTTTGTTTTAATATAGTTCGAAATTAACCACACTGGTCCAGACACTTTCACACTTCATCTCCATTTAAATCACAATGTCATGTATCATTATTCACTTTCTAGCCTCACAACTGTTGGTATTATTATTACTGTCTACATATCCTTGTCCCTCGTTTTGTTTACCTCCACCTTGATGTGCGTATGTAAAGAAGGAGTAATGTGGAGCTCTGGTTCATTGGCTTAGTAAGATGACTTTACTCCAGAGGGTCGCGGGTTTGGACAACCAGGTGGTAGTATCATTAGTTCTCACATGAATGTGCACAGGGTTACTGAGTGAACCCCAGTATTCGATTCGATTCAAAGTAGGAGTAACATGAGTCGTTATGCAACCATATTTATTTTCGTCTAATTTTCTACACCACTGCAAATTTAGCAACATAAAATGATGTGCTTACTTTGATGATAAGTTTTGAATTGTGTGTCTTTTATCAATTGTTTGTTATTTATTCTACAAAATTCTATCATATGGAATAATTTTCCTCCTCATTACAGTTTAACAAAGTGTAAAGAAGGTGGAATGGTTACGTCAGTCAAGTTGTTCACGGATTTAGTGCTGAAGTTGATAAACGGAGAAGGAAAAATGGATATACTTGTCAAATTAGTTCCTGAATTATTTAAAGTAATTTACTCGAATCTCAATGTCTCATTCTTTTAGTTATTTGGCAGTTGTTCATCTTTTGAATCTAAACTCCTAGATTCCCTCTGGCTTATTGGTTTGTATATTCGATTAATGTCTGTTCATCATTTAAAAATCCTATTTAGATTCATCAATTAGTGATATCAATTCAGAGTCTGCTCGAGATCGTTTCTATCGATTGATGGAAATTCTCAAGAGTCATGTGAATCCTGCTTTAATAATGGAAAGATTTTGTGAAGACACCTTGGAAAATTTATCATTAATTCAATCGAAACAACAGTTTCAAACACGTTACGTTCGTACAAAAACGCGTTTGTTTTTTAAACAACAAAAATTCAATTTATTACGTGAAGAAAATGAAGGTTATGCTAAATTAATTACAGAATTATGTCAAACATCACCAAATGGATCAATGGAAGATGTTATGACTCAGATTCGTTCATTAATTGGTTATTTCGATTTGGATCCAAATCGTGTACTCGACCTAATACTGGATGTATGTGAATTCCGTGGTGATATGTATGAAGAATTTGTCCAACTAATACGCTTGTATAATCCAGACAAAATTGATATGACTAATATACTGGGGCATAAATATCACTTTACTCAGGTATTTTCATCATTTCCTATTATTGTTACCATTCTAGGAACCCGGTGTTACTACACCAGAATCATTGTACAAAGTAACAGCATTTTTGATTTGGAAAAATCTAATTGATCTGGACGTATTATACAGACATGTAAGTTAGTTAGATAATAGTTACTTTTTTAAGGTGGATACTTTTCACGGTCCACGTTGACATATAATGGAATGCATGAAAATGTTAGTTGGTAATTTGTTGGTGTAACAACCACCTATCAATGTGGAACTGGTCATTACTAATGCTTCGCTTAACGAGAGTGAGAAAAGTTTGAACATGTAGATCACTTCACTACCTTGTCACGAGGGAGTTGTTGTACCTACTCTGTTGAAATCAAACTCGATGAAGTTTGTGTCACAATAAAGAAAAGTGTTTTTCGAAAATAACATCATGATGATTCGTTCACTTAAAATAACACATCTGAATCACAGACTATAAACTTGTGCCACTTATTTCCCCTTTTAAAGACCCTTGAAATTTCTATGGTATTTGTGTACCATCCATTTTTAACGTACTAGTCTTAGAACTGTATAATGAAACGTTGCGCATCTGACTGACAGTCGAGGTAGGATGAATTAATTAATATTAGACAGCTAGTATAACGATAGATAGAACTGGGACATCGCGGCAGAGCGTAGTTCGATGCTAATTTGTTTTTTGATATACTACCCAATGATAACACTGTTTACTGAATGACATTTTGGGCCGGGCTCGAACCCTTAGCCTATCAATTGGGAGTCAAGGTCCCAGACCAGTGGGTCGTGAGTTCGAGCCCCGCCCCACCTGTCGAGGTTTGAGCAGCCAGATAGTATCACTAGCCGCTACATAATAGATGTGGCTGATTGCCTACTGCCAGGAACGTCCACAACGTTACTGAGTGCATTTCGACTCAATTCGGTATTCCAGTCGGTGTAACTACATCAAATTTATTCTAGTGATGCTCACTGCAGTCTGCTAAGACGAAGTCACGACATCATTAGTAAGATATATAACTAACTGTTGATGATAATCCAGACCATAACATAGTGTAGCTGGTACACGATGTCAATAGACGATATTCACCTAACCATTTTTATCACCTCATGACTCAGTTTTCGAAGACTCATTCCCAAATGATTTTATATACAAGTTTCTATTTGAATTAACATAATTCAATTGGCAAAATTGTTTTAGCAATATAAATGTCTAAGTGATTACTGATTATTTGTACTATATTTGAAAGCATCGAACTTCTAATTGCTATTATTTCTCCTTTATGTACACTTTCTTCACCTTTCGTTCTCTATGTTACTGTACTGTGTGTGTGATAATTTCCATGGGTTTACCCTCTTGTGCTAAATCTAGGTTGATAAAGCATTCATCTTCATTTCTATCCATGTTATTCATTTTTTTAGCCTTAATGTATAACCATAATGTCCGAATGTACCATTATGATATATGGATAAGTCAGTGGAATTGGCTTTCAGTATTCAATGCTTTCAAACTTGAAATAGTGTATGAGAGATAGATTTTAGTTCACGAATATACTATGTCATATGTCGCAAAAGTCTCATTTTAGCTAGTGCTTTTATAGTATCTATCCACTTATGTATGATATGTTATCATTTATATTGGTATCCCGAAATGGGGTGATGATTTCGCCTCGTTAGTACTAATGGCTACAGCTGAAACCATATTTTTTTCTTCGCATTTCAGAACAAGTAAATGTTCATGTTGTCAGGTATTAGAGAATAAATTCATTCTGAATTCAAGCATATGAATAGGTCTAGGTGCTCTGAATACATTCGCGGTTTCCCAGATTAAACTGCATTCCTTGACTCTATTTTGTCCTTTTCATTATAGGGAAAAAATCTTTCCGAGGAGATTCAGTGATATAGAAATTTGATTGTCTTGTTACCAAGTCATTCTGCAAAGTTTTATCTACTTTCGTATATTTAAAAGAGGAAAGTCTCTCTTGTTTATTTTACTGTGTGCATATCATATTACTAACAAAACAATAAGTAGTTTAATTACTTTGGTGACATTTCTCATATTTCCTCGAATCAAAAAGTTCAGAACAATAGAACGTACAACGTCAAAAGTTTGTGGGTTTGCATATATGAATATGAGTTTCGTTGCCTGTTAAGTTTTGATCATTTACCCACAAATGGTTTGATTTAGTAACCTGTTAACAAAACCCCTGCTGAACTATCGTACCATGTCTATGCCAGTCTGGTTATGAACAATGGCTATCTGATGTTGAGAGGCTTTAATCTAGGTGAAACCATAGTTTTTTTGATACTGGAGATGTAGGAGCCTGCAGATCACTTCCACTGCTGTTCCGTTCAATCTAATCCATGCTTATGAACTACCGTTGCTGGACGTCATGAGTCTATTTTCTCTTTGTTCCCGATATTCCGTGGATGACCATGTTTGCAGATGGAGCTCTTCTCATGATATCTTCGCCACCGACCATAGTCAACTTAAGAGGGGGAGAGGTGAGTTAGAGAGTCTTTTCTTCAATGTTGGTCCTTGTATTATCCTGTAGTTGCGTGGATTGAACTATCCGGTCTCTATTGGCATACGGACTCCTGGCGGATGCCTCCATACTCCCTGTGTTTAAATTATAGATTAATCATAGATAATAGCTAGCAGTGGAATGCAGGGCTCCCGTTCCGTCGTATTTTAAACTCGTCAGCTGCATAGAGACTGATCAATCCGGCCCACTCAACGACGGGATAATACAAGCAACAATATTAAAACTATACTCGTTGCACTAGAAGTGGCTACTGTGACTCGGTGATCTAGTGGATGGCACCTCAGCGTTTGGAGCTATCGGTCTCGCGTTCGAGCCATGGTGGGAACAACACTTCCCGCTGGATAATACATCCAGCTGAGTCTCAAATGGAATGAAATACGCGTCTTGAACTTCGCTACTAGCCTAGCCACTACCCCTCACTGATATTGAGTCCGCTTCTCTTCCACCAGCGTTAATTTTGTTTTCTGTTTTTTTCCTGTGAACTGAACCATGTTCAAATTCTGTCTTACGCTACCACAATTTCTTTTTGTATTGTAAAACTTTCATCACTTAACTAGTTCTAATGCATACAACAATGCATACAAGTTGGTGCAGATTTTTATGTACCAGGTTCTCTATAAGCTCACACATGAGGGTTTATGATGCTATCTGCTTGATCAAGTCGAAATAGATGAAGCGAAATTTGAACCAAGTCCCATTGCTTAAAAGCCTAGCGCTAAACCCGATGAGCCATACCTTATAGTGCTTTTAGTGTTTCAATTCACATATGCTTTATAGGCGCTATCCAACATGTCGTCATTTCTTTGGATTATCTAAAGAAGGTCCTTTGTTGTAGGCGAAAAGTGCCGAAGCGATTCCTACTTAACTTTACTTTTCTTATCATTTACATTACACTGGTGTATTTTGGGGGTAGATGTCAGTGTTTATTCGGTTAGCCTGTTTTTCTATGATGACCACCGTATATCCAACTTGATGGTACGCGGAAAAATCTGAATTCTTATTTATGCTACTTGCAATTCATAAGTAGTGTGGCTCATGTTCTCTATAAAGATATTAGTCAAATTTTACTTTTTAGTAGGCTCTGATCATCTGATATCAAGCCTATGAAGTTGATATTAATAATTTATCAGCTAGATACTAAGCCATGTATACATTTTTAACCCAAGTTAGTGCACTCTTATGGTTGAAGGAGATTTACTACGATTCATCCTAGCCAAAGCAATGGTGAACGGGTTAAAATCTCCTCTCTTCTCTTGAAATCTGGTATTTAGTACATACGCCTTACTTCTATCTAATGTGCCCTAAATTTTCATTATCCAACTGGAACACTTTAGTTTGTTCATTCCTGATGAACCAGCCACGTGTGAATCTGCAGGCTGTATGAATTCTGTTATGTGATGTAGACCAATCACAGCACATGAGACAAAAAGAAACAATAATAATAATTCTACTACTAATGGTAATAATGGTGACAGGTAGAGAGAGAATTCAAAGCCTCTGCTGTGTTACCATACAAGGAAGGCACCTCAGAAACATTACGAAGAATTCTCAATGAGGGTGGCTGGGATTAAAGTGGCATTCAAACCAACAAACTCACTCAGAAACAAGCTTTGTAGGTTAAAAGATCTATCGATGCAATTAAGCAAAATAATCTGGTTTACCAGATCCCTTACAATGATTGCGAGGTCAAGTACATAGGTCAAAGCAGTCGATAGGGTCGATTAGAATAACAGAGCACAAAAACTTAGCTAAATCAAGATTAGTAGGCCCTAATAAGATAAGAAATCTAGAGAAAAACTCGGCTATAGCTGTGCATTCGATGACACATAATCACACATTAGGGTGGGATAGGGTGACAGTGTTGAAAACTAACTTACTTGGATGGAGGGAAGGGGAGATTGATAACCGAGTGAATCTTTGTTTATCGAATCAACACCAAATACATGCGGTAATAGAAATGATTCTGTATCCGTCCCAGATACATGGAAAATTCTACTACCCTTATCATTGCAGAGAAGGAGAGAAAACTAGAATGTATGAAGTCTGTCTCGAAGTTGTGGAGTTGCCTAGTATGAATATGGACAGTGGGTTGTATCGGAAACGTTGTTATCCAATGAATGCTATTGTTCCTTCACTGTGTGATATTTCTAATAAACAGACTAAAATGAAAACAACAACAACTAATCTTTGTCGATAATTATAGCATATTCATGAAGTTATAGAATTAAAAATATACAATATGATTTCAATGTTTCAAGTAGTAGTAATAATAACGATAACAATAATTTGGAATGACATAGACATCGATTCATTTCACAATTGAATTTTTCTTCGCCAATTTGCATAATATTCATGTCTACGTCGTTCAGGACAAAAGCATGCACATCTAAGCATTCGTTTAAATGTTCGACGAAATGTTGGATTAAATGCATGATATACAAATGGATTAAGCATTGAACTAAGATAACCTAACCATTCTAAATGAGCCATTGCTGGCCCTGTACAATGATTACATGTTGCACAGAATATATCAATGAAATAGACTATAAAAAAGGCAGATAACATACTAAAAATATGCCGA